TCTCCTTTATTAATCTCTCTTCTATTCTTGTCTTTGCTCTTCCTGTTAAGAATCAATCCTGTCTATTTATCCTCCTCCTTCTCCCTTCTCCCTTCTCTTCACCGACAAAAAAACACAAGAAAAGACAAAAACACAGGGAAATGGAGGCCCTTTTCTTTTCTTATGCTTTTTCAATGGTTGGGGAAAGTGACGTGGCCCCTGTCCATGCTTCAGCGTATCCCTCCCCTTGCCCTATCTCCTTGGTTCTTTCCATTGTTCCCAAACGGAAAAGAAAGCGAGTTCCTTTCATTTTCATTGTTCTTCCTTTGGTTTTTTATTTCAAAGGCAAACGAACAAGAGAGAAGAAAGACAAGAAAGAGAGGAAAGACGAAGACGAGTACCATCTTCTCTTTGCCACGGGCAAAACCCGAGCCCTAGCTTCCAAATAAACCCTATTTAAGCCACCGGGGGGGGGAGGGGCGCCAGGCGGCCAGGGGGACAGGGTAGAAAGGCCCGAAACCACCTAAACTATCTAAACTATCTAACCTTGAATATGTAGAATGTGGGAGCTCAGTGTTCCAAAAACTTAAGGGGGACACTGCTTGCGATTTGTCATTTTGGGAGCTCCGTTTTTCAAAAACTTACGGGGGACACTGCTGGCGATTTGACATTTTGGGAGCTCCGTTTTCCAAAAGCAGGGGTACACTGCTTGCGAATTGTCATTTTGGGACCTCAGGTTTCCAAAAACTTTAGGGTGGACACTGCTTGCGATTCATCATTTTAGGAGCTCAGTTGTCCAAAAACTTAAAGGGGACACTGCTGGCGATTTATCATTTTGGGAGCTCCATTTTCCAAAAAAATCAGGGGGGCACTGCTTGCGATCTGTCATTTTGGGCGCTCAGTTTTCCAAAAAAAAGAGGGGGGACACAGCTTGCGATTTGTCATTTTGGGAGCTCCGTTTTCCAAAAACTGAAGGGGGACACTGCTTGCGATTTGTCCTTTTGGGAGCTCAGTTTTCCGAACACTTACTTGCGATTTGTCATTTTGAAAGTTCGGTTTTCCAAAAAATTAAGGGGGCACACTGCTTGCGATTTGTCATTTTGGGAGCTCAGTTTTCCAGAAACTTAAGGGGGGCACGCTTGCGATTTGTCATTTTGGGAGCTCGGTTTTCCAAAAACTTAGAGGGGGACACTGCTTGCGATTTGTCATTTTGGAAGCTCTGTTTTCCAAAACTTCAGGGGGACAATGCTTGTGACTTCTCATCTTGGGAGCTCAGTTTTCCAAACGCTTAAAGGGGACTCTGCTTGCGATTTGTCATTTTGGAAGCCCTGTTTTCCAAAACTTCAGGGGTAACAATGCTTGCGATTTGTCATTTTGGGAGCCCAGTTTTCCAAAAACTTAAGAGGGACACTGCTTGCGATTTATCGTTTTGGGAGCTCAGTTTTCCAAACGCTTACGGGGGACACTGCTTGCGATTTGTCATTTCGGGAGCTCAGTTTTCCAAAAACTTAAGGGTGACTTAAATTCCAGCCCCCCCCTGCCCAAGGCCCCCAGGAAGAACAAGAAGAAGAGAAGAGAAGAGAAGAGAAGGAGAAGGAGAAGGAGAAGGAGAAGGAGAAGGAGAAGGAGAAGGGGAAGGAGAAGGAGAAGGAGAAGGAGAAGGAGAAGGAGAAGGGAAGAGAAGGAGAAGGAGAAGGAGAAGGAGAAGGAGAAGGAGAAGGAGAAGGAGAAGGAGAAGGAGAAGGAGAAGGAGAAGGAGAAGGAGAAGGAGAAGGAGAAGGAGAAGGAGAAGGAGAAGGAGAAGGAGAAGGAGAAGGAGAAGGAGAAGGAGAAGGAGAAGGAGAAGGAGAAGGAGAAGGAGAAGGAGAAGGAGAAGAGAAGGGAGAAGAGAAGGAGCAGAGAAGAGAGAGAGAGAGAGAGAGAGAGAGAGAGCGCAGAGAAGCGGGAGGAAATTGTAGCGAGATGGATTTGTGTCCTTACACAAACATTCAAAGAAGAGAAAGAAGAGAGGCGAGGGTGGATGAAGGTAGTGAGATTGAATAGTGGCGCCTCTCAGAATTTGTTGTTTATTCCTTCTTTCTTTCTTCCTCCCAAAGACCAGAAAGGGATGAGAGGAGAGTTACGACAATTGAAATGTTCTTTGTCCTTCTCCTTGATAAGAAAGAAGAAAAAACACTGTTGTTCATTCCTTGGTGTTTTCCTCTTGTTGTCTGTTCCTTCTCGCTGAATGAGTCTGTTGAAAGAACACGCACAAATGAACAGGGGAGCCGTTTTGTCCTATCTGAACAGAACTGTTGGAACTCAGGGGGGGTGGATTGCAGACAAACTGGAGGGAACAGGGGAACTCAGCCCTGCGAGGGGCCACTTTTTGCAACATAACTGCCCCCCACGTGCACACGCGCAGCCCCAAATCTGACTTCGCGAGACTGTTTGCAATTCTCTCCTCCATAAGAAAAGCAAAGAGCAGAGAAAAAGCGAGAAGAGATGTGAGCGAGGACGAAGGTAACGAGATGATCTTGGGTTCTTGGACATTCATCTTTGTTTCCGGCAAGAACAGAGCCAGAGAAGAGAGATAAGAGAGCAAGATAAGAGAGCAGAGGAGAGGATGGATGAAGGCAGTGAGAATGAATCAGGGCGCCTCCCCCTTATTTTTTGGTTTATTTTCTTCCTCATTTCTTCTCCAACAGGCAAGAAAGGGAAGAGAGGAGAGATGAGGAGAGTGTGTAAATAGAAGAGTGACATGTTTTCATGTTTACCTCTTCCTTGTTCTTCTCCTGTTATCCGACTCCTTTTCTCCTGAAAGAACCGTACGTTAGTTAAAGGTTTGTTGCTTTCCTCTTGTTGTCTGTCCCTTCCTCGCTGAATGGGAAGATCAAAAGAACATGCTGGACAGGGGCACAGGGGACCGTCTTCGTCCTTGTATATACCCCCTTCTTTCTCCTCAACCGAAGGAACGGAAAAGTTGGAACGCAGGGGAAAGATTAAAGAAGGCAAAAGGAAGGGAACAGGGGAACTCATCCCTGTCCTAGGGGGAGAATGGGCCTCCCTTACGCAACAAACAAGTACTTGCTTCTCCTTTTTCCCGTCCATGTGCTTCGCTCATCTAGTGTTATGCATTCTCTCCTCCATAGAGAGCAGAGAGAAGAGGGAGGATGAATGTGGTGACATTGGTTTGTGCTGCTAAATCTTCATTCTGTAACAAAAGAACCACATGGAGGATGAATGCAGTGAGACTGAGTAAGGGCGCTTATCTTTATCCCTTCCTTGTGTGTTTCTTGTACATGTTGCTCGTGGCTTCCTCTTTCTTTTGAGATTGGCTTGTGTTCTCAAATCTTCATTCTGCAAGAAGAGCATCACTTATTCCTTCCTCGTGTTTTTCTTGTACATTCTGCTCGCGGCTTCCTCTTTCTTTTTCTTGTTGTTATCTAGCTTGCTTAAACACTCTTGTTGGTTCCTTGTTTTTCCCCTGTTGTCTGTTCCTTTCTCGCTGAATGGGAAGATCAAGAAAACATGCTGGACAGGGGAGACGTCGTCGTCCTTGTATACACCCTTCTTTCTCCGTAAACGAAGGAACGGACGAGTTGGAACGCAGGGGAGAGATTAAAGAAGGCAAGAGGAAGGGAACAGGGGAACTCATCCCTGCCCTAGGGGGAGAGTGGGCCTCCTGATGCAACAAACAACTAACTACTTGCTTCTCTCTCATCTTCCCGTCCATGTGCTTCGCTCATCTAGTGTTATGCATTCTCTCTCGCGCAAGAAAATCAAGAAGAGACACAAGCTAGAAGGGAGAGAGCAGAGAGAAGAAGTAGGATAAGAAGAGAACCACAGAAGAGAAAGAAGAGAGGATTAGAGGATGAGTGCAGTGAGACTGAGTGTGGGCACTTCTCTTTGCGATGGGTTTTCATTCCTCGTGTTTTCCTTGTACATTCTGCTCGTGGTTTCCTCGTCCTTGTTCTTGTTGTTCTCTTTATCTAGCTTGCTTAAACACTCTTGCTAACACCTGTAGATAAAATGAACATGCATAAGTGGACAGTGGAACCGTCTTCGTCCTTCTTCTTTACCCCTTCTTTCTCCTTAAAAGACGGAACAGAACAGTTGGAGCTCAGGGGAGGGACTAAAGAAGGCAAAGGAAGGGAACAGGGGAACTCGTTCCTGCTCTACGGGGAGTGGGCCTCCCCTATGCAACAAACAACTACCTGCTTCTCGCTCTTCCCGTCCATGCGCTTCGCTCATCTAGTGTTATGCATTCTCTCCTCCATAAGCAAAACAAGAGACAAAAGCTAGAAGTGAGAGAGCAGACAGAAGAGGGAGGATGAATGGGTTGAGATTGACATGTGTTCTTTATATGTAGCCATTATTCTCCTCGGTAAGAAGAGCCAAGAGAGAGAGAGAGAGAGAGAGAGAGAGAGGGAGAGAGAGAGAGCGCGAGAGAGAGAGAGAGAGAGTGAGACAGAGAGAGAGCGAAAAGAGGAGACGGTGGATGAAGGTAGTGAGACTGACTTTTTCTTTGATGATTCCTTCCACTTTCCTTTTCTTCTACCCAAAGTCAAGAAAGGGAAGAGAGGAGAGGGTGTAAAGTGAATAGTGACTGAATGTAAAGAGTTCTATGGTTCCTTGATCTTCTCCTGTTCCGACCCCTTTTTCTCCTCGACAACGGGAAGGGGTCATACACCCTGGACTGTTCGTACAATCCTTTTATAACCGTTGAATGCACAACCCTAGACCATGAACCCAAAAGACATAAAATGTCACCTACTTTTCTAGTAGCAATATGCATAATATGAAACGCAAACTACTCATTTGATAAGTGTTAATACTGTTGAAGTAAAACCCAAAGCAAGTAATCACATTATACCTAAAGGTCCATGGCACATATATATATATATATATTATATGAACCCATTTTGCCCCAAATAGAATAGAATCTCTTACAAAGGACCCCCCAAGAAGTGTACCCCCTATTTTCGGAAACCTCCATACTACGGTAGATGCATCTGACCCCCATGTGCCGTTTTCCAGGCCTTCAAGAGGGGAGTCAGCTTGGCAGTGTCTCCGAAATCATAGGCGTACGCCCCGCGCGTGAGTGAGGGACACGCCGTCGGCTCCACGGCCAGGAAGCGGACGTTCGGCTTCGCGGCCTCGAGGCGAAGCTTCTGGCCAAGGAAGGGAAAGGCGATGCCAGCAAAGTTGCTGCCCCCACCAGTGCAGCCGACCACAACATCCGGGTATTCCCCAAAGAGCTTCAGCTGCTCCAGGGCCTAAACCCTAAACCCTAAACCCTAAACCTTAAACCCTAAACCCTCAACCCTCAACCCTAAACCCTAAAACCTAAACCCTAAACCCTTCGGGCCTCTTGGCCGATGACACTTTGGTGCATGAGCACGTGGGACAGCACCGACCCCAGGGCGTACTTGGCCTCACCCGCCGAGGAGACGCATGCCTCGATGGCCTCAGAGATCGCGATGCCCAAGGATCCTGGGCTTAGGGGGTTTAGGGTTTCGGGTTTTCGGGTTTAATCAGGGTTTAGGGTTTGATTAGGGTTTAGGGTTTAGGGTTTCGGGTTTAGGGTTTAGCCCAAGGATCCTGGGCATTGGGGATCCTCCTCCAGGGCCTTGGCGCCCACTGCGGTCTTGGTGGAGGGCGAGGGGAAAATCTCCGCGCCGCAGGCTTCGATGAAAGCCTTTCGGTAGGGCTTCTGCTCGTAAGACACCTGCCACCAGGGGCACCCCCAAGCCCCAAAAAGGCAGAGTGAGGATGGGTGTTGTCCACTAGGCATGCAGTACGATGCCCAGAACCCGAAGGCCCTAAGCCCTCAGCATTCTCATTTAGGGTTTAGGGTTTAGGGTTTAGGGTTTAGGGTTTAGGGTTTAGCATCTCTTGCTTGCACAGACAAAAGAAGCCAGGCCTTGACTTGGTAGACCTCGATCGGGAGACCAAACTGACCTGAGAGCTGCGCCATCTGGCTGATACCCTAAAAGCAAACCCTAAACCCTAAACCCTAAACCCTAAACCCTAAACCCTAAACCCTAAACCCTAAACCCTAAACCCTAAACCCTAAACCCTAAACCCTAAACCCTAAACCCTAAACCCTACAAACCCCTAAACCCCTGCTGACACAGGGATCCTTCCATGCATGGCATGCATAGCGGGAGAGCCACATCCAGACCAAGCCAGGGCTGATCCCCACTGTCCCGCCCCAGTCTCCGTCGTAATCTTCTTGGTCCCTGCGAGCTTGTTGTAGTACACCTCGGGACGGTTTAGGGTTTCGGGTTTCGGGTTTAGGGTTTAGGTTTAGGGTTTAGGGAAAAGGGTTTAGGGCTTAGGGTTTCCGGTTTAGGGTGCATGTCGGAGTGTAGCAACCCTGACCCCCCCCCCCCAAAAAAAAAAAAACAAAAAGCCTAAAGGGGACATGAACATAACTTCGCTTATGGGTGTGGCGCATTCAGCTGGAATCCTTCACCCTAAGCCCTAAACCCCAAACCCCAAGATACGAAACCCTAACCCTAAACCCCAAAAAAAACCCAAACCTCTCAAAAGCCCAAAACACCTAAACCCCAAAAACTCTCAATCCGTTTCTGTGGTCACCCCGGCCTGGGGGACGGCAGTGTTCGTCTTGTGGGAGCCAGAGGGCGAACCACCTTCGTACTTGTAGAAGATCTTGACCTGCACAAAACCTATCCACGGAAAACAAAGCACTCAAAACCCTCAACCTCTTACACCTTGAACAGGTGTAAGGGTTTCGGGTTTTTGGGTTTTGGGTTTTAGGGCTTGTGAGCTTGAACGGCTGGATGGGTAAACAGGACTTCGCGAACAAGCCGGGCAGCGTTCTCGGGTAGTCCCAAGAGCTTCTCCCAGCGGGATGCCCGTATCAGGGGCGTTGGGCGCCACAAGCTCAGCACCTCCCTCACTTCCTCAGGGATGTCCAGGTGTCTCTCCGTGGAGACCTGATTTCAGGGTCTCCGGGATTAGGAGCTTGCCGTGACTCTCAACGTTAAGTTCCTCTTTTTGGGGATGCCCAATTAGGCATATGATATGAGACTAATATAGCGGCCTTAAGAATAAGAACAGGGTTTTGAGGGGGGTTATGATCGTATAATTATAAAGGGACCCTAAGGGAATACTATTAGTAAGTATTCCGACCCCTAGAGTAGCCACAGACTTCGATTCTAGGTACCATCTGCCAAAAAACCCTGCAATGCAGGGTCTTGGTAGTAGGGTTTTAGGGACTCCGTCCCGCCGGCCCGAAACCCTAAACCCAACCCTAAACCCTAAACCCTAAACCCTAAACCCTAAACCCCTAAACCCCTAAACCCCTAAACCCCTAAACCCCTAAAACCCTAAAACCCTAAACCCCTAAACCCCTAAACCCCTAAACCCCTAAACCCCTAAACCCCTAAACCCCTAAACCCCTAAACCCCTAAACCCTAAACCCTTTCCCCTCAGGTGCACCTCCTGCTCAATGAGGGAAGCCTGGGCCGCGCCATCGTTAAAGGGTTTGGAAGCTTAGGGGTTTAGGGTTAGTGTTTAGGGGTTTTGGGTTTAGGGGGTTTAGGGTTTCGGGATGGAGATTTGGGGCTTTAAGGATTAGGGCTTAGGGCTTAAAGATATCTCAAGAAGATCCAAGGCGCGGGGAAGAGTGGAGCGAAATCCTCTGCAGTACATGGCCGTAACCTTGGTTCTTGGCGGCTTGCCTGGGAAGTAAAATTCTCTGCATTCTCCACAGACGGGTCACAGGGCGGATGATTTCGCTGTGAGGGTCTGGGTTTGGGACACTGACAATGAAGAATTCCACCTAAACCAAAACCCCTAAACCCATGAATTCTCAAAAGCAGCTCCCCAGGATGCAGGGGGGGAGGCAAAGGCACCGGCAAGTCTGCCTGGATGTTGTACCTGGTGCCAGGCATGGTCTCTTGAACCCAAGGGTGCCCCCCACCCTATCCGCATCAAATCTAAATCATATGCGTGACACCAAAATAAAGTGAAAGTTTGGGGGTTTCCGGAAATGGGGGGGGTACCCTTTTTTGGGGTTCCTACAATAATAATGAGTGTAGTGCTTTGGGGTAACTTAGGGGTCCCCCAATTTTCGTAAACCCCCCTACGTGTGACATGACTACCGAACGTGCGCCAAGAGGGCACCATTGCTTGGGCAGAGAGGTGCCCGTCACGGCCTTTGCGGAGAAGGCCCTCCATCCCAGATGACTGGAGGAAGCGCGTCTGAGGATGGTGGCAGCCATAGCATAGACTCTTGGCTTCGTAGGATGGCCCTTAAAAACCCTCCGAAAAATTTTTCCGGACTATGACTATGATCCCCTTAAAACCCAATAAAGGGAAAACGTAGGAAACTAGCGCGTTCGGCTTGAGGGAGGCTGGGGATGCGGGATCCCTTCAGTTTTTCGGGGTTTGCCGGAATTCATGGGGCTGCTGCTCTCCATCCCTTGAGCTGTGTGGCGACAACTCACGTGGCGAACCTGTGCATGAAGAGACTGGTGCCCCCTTTAGGGTTTTTATTTAAACGTAAAAAAAAATTGTTTGGGTTTTTTTAACGTAAAAAAGCCCTAAATGCAACTTTGTGGTGTCATTGGTGTCATGGGTAGGCTTTTTGTCTGCTAAAGAATGGAGGCTGGGAGCCTAGGTTTCGCCTTTTGAAAAGGCTGTGGGCCCAGGCCTCCCCCCCGAAAGGTGCTTCGCACGCAGGGGGGCAGGCCATGGGACAAAGATGGGGAGTCCATTACCTGCCGGATTTCCGGCTGGAGCAGGTCTGCTGTAATGGAAGCAACCCCAACTTTGGGCAAACCCACCCAGTGCAGGAGCCGAGACACGCAAGCGGCCCATTGAAGCGTTTGGCCGCTGATTACAAGTGTTGGTGTAAAGCCTGCTCCGCACTGGCCCGGGGTGCCGGGACTGTGCGTGACATTAAAGCCACATTGCCTGAGGCAGTGTGAGGCCACACTTCATCATAATCCAAGAAGGACGGGTGGGAGTCTGGCAGTGAGAACCATCGACTTTGCTTCTTCAGACATTCTCAGATCCCCTTGTGTCCAAACTCACTTAAGGGCTCCTTCTGTCTCAACTGTGGAGAGGAGCGCTTGGGCTTCACCTCACATACGCCATCTTCCTGCACGCTCGGGACCACCTATATCACCACCCTGGAACATGCGAATCATCTGAGCAGGGCTCAGACCTGCTGTCCCCCGAAGGCGTACGTAGAGGCTCATGTGAGGCGACTCACACTACTTGCCGCCCCTGCGGTCGCATGTAGTCTGAGAACATGGAGACGCAGCCATCGCTGTCCTGGCCAGGCGAACAACAAGGCAAGCGATCAGCTTCCCGCCAAAACAGGAGTGATCAGACCTGTCTTGCCCAGACCTTCGGTATAAGATTTCCGAGGTTTCATGAACCATGTGGATGAGATGCCGTCACCACCATATCATCCCTTGGAGGCCTGAAGCCCAGAATGAGAGAGGTGGGCCTGGTCCCCATGAGAGAGGAGCCTATCCCGCCTAAACCCTAAGCCCACAATCCAAGATGTGGAAGCTTACTTCATCTCCGGATGTTGGGCGGGCACATCAGGAAGGACATGGGCGCTTCATATGGCTTGTGTTGTCTAGCAGAGCCCGGAAAGCTCGCTTCTAATCATCTCAAACACAACTTGCGGCAACTTCAAACTCCCCCCCCCCTCTTCTATTTGTTTGGAGGAAGGCTTTGCCCCGTAGTAGGGGGTTCTAAACCTCTGCATGTTGCTCATAATCAGCACGCATAAACTACGAGAAAGGCTATAATTAGGATGGAACCCCCACGTAGTACTTCTAACCCGACCTACTCAGTTCCCTGAGCTTTCAAGAAGCCTTTTCGGGCTTACAGGTCAAAGACGCCAACGTGCAGCTGCACCTTGAAATAGTGACCCGGGCCCGGGGTCAGATTCCGCGGAGTCGGTACCCGGAGCTTGCCCTGTGAAAGGGATGGTTTATACGAGGGTTTAGGATAAAAAACGTCTCTTTTTGTTGGGGGAAGCGGGGGGAGGCTAGGGTCTAGGGCCTAGGGCTAACATAAGTTGTATAGTGTTGGTGTGTGGACTACCAGCATTTTCAGCCGTTTTTCAATTCCTCGAATGGTGGCCGGCCCTTTGAATGCATGCGGGCTTGCCGACGCATTTTTCAGCAAAAGCCAGAAGGCTTCAGAATATTCAACTTAGTGTTGCAACCCTCTTTAGTAGGAGCCTCCGCTCGAAAGTCAAGGTCGCCAGGCTATTCAGGACCGTGTGACTGTTTGGGCGGTGCCCGGTGAGATCCTCCGTAGAGTCAAATCTGTGGGTGCCGCAAGAACATTTCGCGCGGGCCTCTCTGTCCCGTTTCAGCTCATATAAACTCATCCCGATCAAAGTCATATGAAATCCCAGGATCGTTTCAAGATGGATAAATCAGCTTCGACTGTTCAGCGGGGCGGGGGAAGGCGAGGGGGGACTGGGGCCCGCACACTAACAGGGTGCAACATTACTTAAAGTCTCCAGGGCATCATTGACAGAAGGCCAAGAGGACAAAAGACTCAATTCACTTCAAACTCTTTGCATGCTCAGGACCCAGGTCAAGAGGAGTGCTAAGAAGTGCCATAGGCATCCAACCGGTTGGATTGCGCGGTCAGGCTTTCGAACGTCTTGAATCATGGCGGGGCTGATCAAAAGCACGACGCCGTAGGGTTGCTTCAGAGTTCACGAGCTGGGATGAAGCTTAGAGGGCAAAGGAATGGGGGCTTTCTTATGATGCTTAGACGTCCACTCATTCAAGGACATCGAGTATGTCAGTTGGCCTTATAAGGGTTCCGAATTCAAGACAACCCCGACTGGCCTCGTGCTCTTGCCGGGCATGGCCCACACCTCCAAGGGTGCTGTAGAAGACGGGCCTGCCAGTTTAGGCACGAGATGAGAGTAGGGTTTAGGGTTTAGTGTTTAGGGTTTAGGGCTTAGGGTTTAGGGCCTACCCTCTCCGGCCTTAAGAAGGGGCATGAGGCGATTCAATGCTGTCATCCTTGCTACCATGTTGTAAACGCCCAAATCCGATTCTACCCTAAACGGTCTAAACCCTAAACCCTCAACCCTAAACCCTCAACCCTCAACCCTAAACCCTAATCAAACCCTAAACCCTAAACCCTCAACCCTAAACCCTAAATCTTGCCTTTTGTATGCCACTCCGGCCTCAGCGACGTACTGTCCAAGCCCCAGCTGGCAGGCCGCCACCTCACGTCTTGAACAGTCAATAGTTATTTTTACTTGCAAAAGGGTTTAGGGTTTAGGGTTTAGGGTTTTGGGTTTAGGGTTTAGGGATCTAATGGGATCTGCATAATTGATCCTTCTTGAGGAGGGCTACCTCAAGCTTGGTGGCCACTAAGGCAAGAACCCGGTTCGGGATACCTCAAGTTTGGTGGTCACTAAGGCGATTGACAAAGGCTTGTGCTTAGTGTGTGAAAGGTGCGGAGCCCTTTCGGCATCGTGCTCCGCGAACCCATTTCATGCTCCTGTGAATCGAGCAGCCGTAGGCTTCTTGCGAGCATTGACTTGGCGTTGAACAGGGGCGGGTGCTAGGGATTCATATTACTTCGCTTGATTTGCGCAGTTCTGATGCAAGTTTGCAGATTCTTCTTGGCTGCTGCAGCCACTGTGTGCTACGTGTCCTGAGAGGACTTAAAGCAAAAGCGTGGCTGCTATGTGTCCTGCACTATTGCCACTGGTTGTATTTCCTTGCTACAGGTACAACGGCCACCCGACAGCAAAGGCCCTGAAAACTTCAAAGCCTCCCTGCTGAACTGAAGCTAGCAGGGACTAAACCTGTAAACTTGTAAACCATAGGGCTTAGGATCTAGAGTTTAAGACTTTAAGAGTCTAGAGTTTAAGTTCCAGCAAGCAAACCGGAATTCACCAAAATCCCCAAGGGAGGCCGCTGAGTGCAGGACGGAGCCGAGTTCTTGTTGACAGACACCTAAAAAAGCAGCAGTCTGAAAAGATTGCAGGTTCGCGTAGGCCGTTCACGCTTTAGGGCCCTAAACCCTAAACCCTAAGCCCGAAACCCTAAACTCTAAACTTTAAACCCTAAACCCTAAACCCTAAGCCTCTGGAACCCTTTACTGGCATGGTGCTCAGAATCCAAGTTGAGGCCCAGTCTCCTAAACCATGCTGTGTTACAACATGCTGGAGCTAAAGGACACCTTCCCATCTTGCGCTTACAGGAGGTCACTGTGGTCTTCTATGGGAAAGTTTAATGTTTAGGTTTGAAGTTTGTATGTTCGTGTATCATTGTATACTATGATATTGGGCAAAGTGCTCTTGCCCGTGAAAAAGACCCCTCAAACAAGGACCCCCCCCCATCCCCCCCAACCCAACACAACTGGGCTGACACGTCTATTCTAGGGGCAGGAGATCGGAGCAACATGTCCCAAGGGCAATAGTTTCTTGGGTGTCAGGCCAAGTAGGAAGTAAACCCTGAACCCTCAGCACTGACCTTAAATAGGACTGTTTAAACGCCCCAGCCTCGAAGGCACGGTCGATGTCACCCAAGAACCTGACATAGGCTTCTGGGCCCCGCCCAAAACCCCTAAAGCCCCCTTAAAAGACCCCCTAAAATCCAGAAGCCCAAAACCACGTATTGAATTTCAAGCTTTGGGTCTGTAGTGAAGTAGACCGTGGCCCCTTAAGGCCCAAGCACACCACAACCTACTCCCCAAAATCTTGAACCTCAAATATCCCGGACCCCTAGTTTAGCTCTCGGAGCCGTTAACCCTCAAATCCCCAATGTCAAGTCCAAAGCCCCTTCTGACCATTCTTCTTTCTTATGCTATTGTTATTATTGTGATTATTGTTTTCATTGTTATGATTGTTACTACCGTTGTTAATAGTAATGTTGGTATTACCATTATGATTATATATTCGATATTTAACCAAGCCCACGAACCTCTAAATCCTCAAAACCAAACCCCCAATCCCTGAGAGCCCTCAAAACCTCAAAGCCTACACACCTCAGAGCCCTGAAAGCACTAACCCCTTAAACCCCCCAAGACCCCCTAGCCCCCCTAAATTCAAAACCCTACTGTAGAACCCTAAACCCTAGAGCCCTAGAACCCTAGAGCCATAGAACCCCCCTAAACCCTAAACCCTAAACCCTAAACCCTAAACCCTGAACCCTGAACCCTGAACCCTGAACCCTGAACCCTGAACCCTGAACCCTGAACCCTGAACCCTAAACCCTAAACCCTAAACCCTAAACCCTAACCCTGAACCCTAACCCACCAACAAAAAAACAAAACAAAAACAAGATCAGGAGGCCTCGGAACGCGATACGAGCCGGGCCCTGGTCAAAAAAGTTGTGTTTAGGGGTTCAAGGGTTTAGGGAGTTTAGGGGTTAAAGGGCTTTAAGGGCATTTGAGTTCAGTCTAAGTTCGAAGGCTCAGTTATACTGTGTTTTTGTCAAGAGGGGGGGGGGGGGGGTGAAGGGTTTAGGCGTTCAGGGCTGAGGGCAGAGGCAAAGCGGGTTTGGGGCTGATTGTTTTGGGGAGGGGGGGGGAGGGGGGGTGGTCAGGTCTTGGTTTTTCGACCTAGTCCTGCTGGGTCTTTTGTGGCAAAGCGTACCAAATATAGCAGGGTTGGGGTCTTCCTCCAAACCATTCTATGAGCACCTGATCCTCAGATTCCTCACAATGGGCGTGGTTCTGTCAACAGCCTTGCCAAGAATAGGGGGAGTAATCTTTGGGGCAAAAAATATCTTCGGACCTACCCAAGTCTGGCTGGTTGTGCCTGGCACTGCCTTCCACTGTCTGCCGCGATCTCGCAGTTCTTTCTGGCTCTTGTCATCACGCCTGGCACTAGTCGGAAATGTTGGAAGTCTTGTGTCCCCCAAGCAGAAAAATCGACAACACTGCCTGCATAAACCCCAAACCGTGAGAGACCACATGGGTTCAGGGTTTAGGGTTTAGGGCTTAGGGGGACACCAAGACCTTCCTGGCTCACGAAAGAACGACTTATTCTTGCCACTGGAGCTCCAGACCCACGCATTGTACCACAAAATGCTGACCTTGGAGCCACTGAGCCTCCGGACGTCCCCGGCATCCTACCCCTTTGCCCAAAACCCTTATATATGAAGGCCTCTAGGCCCAAAACCTTAAAACAAGAGTCCTCAGAGCCGTGGGGTACGTTCGTACTACAGCCACTTTCGAGCCACCAGAACTGGAGGTGGCCTATATGGGTGGATGCTCAGTCAACACTCAAGGGTGGACGGTTTAGGGTTTAGGGTGTAGGGTGTAGGGTGTAGGGTGTAGGGTTTAGGGTTTAGGGCTTAGGGAGGGAAGCCAGCGAACGCAGCTGTCAAGGTTGGACAAGCGTTTGACCTTCGAGGTCTTTCAAGACGCGTGCAAGCGAAGACCGTTTCGCATTTGGCGAACCCGACATCGCAAAACAAAGCGACGACAGTTTCGTTTTGTGTGAACCCAGACTTCTCAAAGCGACAACCCGGTAACGACAACGGCGACGTCCACGCGCACAGTGCCGAGGCGGGAGCGCGCTTGCCGACATCGCGAGTTTTCAAATCCCCTTATATAGTCTGGCCGCACGCAGCTCAGGATTCCACGCGACTGCCAAGTTTTCAGGACGCGGAGCGATGCAAGCGTCGCAAAACGCACGGGACCTAGGCGGAGAGCGCGATTTCCACCCGCCAACACCACAAACGCACGGGGCTTAGGCGAGAGCACGATTCGACACCATGCACGTAGCCAAAACCATGTCTCTTGCGATGCTTCAGGGCCCCAAGAAATCTGCGCCCAAGCCGGCGAAGCGGGAAAAGGAGCGCATTTCGTCGGAAGCCAAGCCGCCGCTCGAGGAACAACGCGTCCGCAGGCGCTTCGCGGGCACCGCGCGAGCAACTCAATGCAAAAACAAGAGCCCTAGTAGTGTTGACACACTGTTTGGGGAACATTCATAAAGTCATGTGTGTGTATATATATATATATATATACACGCATTTCTACGGGCTTCCAGCGCGCCATCGCCTCAACGCGGGGTGGGGGCTTCATAGCTTTTTAAGTCAGTTGCAGGCTCCTCGGAGCGCTTCTGGGGGTGCTCTTTCTTGGGTGGTCTTAGCCTGGCATGCTTTTGAAGTTACCGTGGGTTCTTAGGGGTTTAAGGAACTGGAAGTACTTCAAGCCGGTATGGGTATCTACATAGACTGTTCTTCTTCATCCTTCTTAAACCCAAGGGAGCGGGTTGGAAGGAAAGGTTCTTGAAGCCTCGATGTCTACACAGGCATGCCAGGCCGAGAACGGTTTCGGGGACTCCGGCCTCCGCAAGTCATCCAACAAAGTCTCGCCATCTTGGCAGCGGTGAGTCCCAGTTTTGCCTGCAGAACCGGCAGCACCGGCACCAAACCGTTCTCAAGTGGATCACAACCACCAGCCCCAGCAGCGGCCCGAATCATTGAATCATCGCCTTCACAATCACCACAATCACAAGTGCAGCCTTTCAACATGCGACTTCTTGCGGCGTCACCCTGGCCCTGCTGAGTTAGCTTAGGATTGGCGTGTCCACGAACTTCCACTGAACAGCAGGGCTTTAAGAGTATGAAGGTGTACTCCGAAACTATTCTGGCACGGATCTGTGCTTCGCATCCCCAGAGCTGGACAGATGTAGAGTCAGTGCCTTAGACTTAGACCTAAGCATGCGCGTGAAAGGTCAACCTGCTACTTCAATCGTTGTCTCGCGCCATATTAGGGTCTAGTTGACGGAAGTGTGAGACACTGAGGAGGGCACAGAAGAAGGTCCTGTTGCTCGCAAGTGTGTTGAGCCTTTGGCTGGAGTGCCCGGGCGGGGGGCAGGGATAGATGGGGCAGCAAGGCGAAACATCCCCACTGCCACTGCACAAGTCGAGTGAGGGTGAAGGCTCTTCAAATAAACCGCACATAAACCTAAACGGGTCTGGAAACCCCAAGCCTCAAAAGCCCTTCACATGCTCGCAGCCGGGGAGCTCATTGTGTAAGCGGGATCCGAAAGAGAATGACGGGGCCGACCTTAGAGCAGCAACCCAGTTGCTTAAAACGATGCAAATTTAAGCCCTAAACCCTAAACCCTAAACCCTAAACCCTAAACCCTAAAACCTAAACCCTAAACCCTAAACCCCGGTTGGGGTCTAGTGTTCCTAGGTCTGGAGTTCGGGGGTTTGGGGGCTTTAAGGTTTTGGCGTCTCATGCAGCCCCTACCCCAACATCCCCCCCAAAGACAAGAGCACCTTCCAGCCCTCAGAACATAAACAGAAGATTTAGGGATAGGGTTTAGGATTTAGGATTTAGAATTTAGGGTTTAGGGTTTAGGGTTTAGGGTTTAGGGTTTAGGTTTAGGGTTTAGGGTTTAGGGTTTACGGTGTAGGGTGTAGGGCGTAGGGCTTAGGAGCCACTCTCCAACACCCTGAACTCAGTTCCTGGCGCGAAGCGAGGATCTCTTGACCTGAGGCTCCTAAGGTTCGAGCCCCAAACCCTAAACCCTAAACCCAAAACCCTAAACCCTGAACCCTAAACCCTAAACCCTAAACCCTTAACCCTACACCTTAAACCGTTCAGGGCTTGAAGGAAGTCCAGAGCTTCTTAGGTACGCCTGTTTTCCTGTAAAACCAAGGCCATCTCTCCGACATAGTGCATACTCATCTAAGATGATACTAGTAGTTTAAGCCCTATGAGCACAAACCCCTCAACCCTAAGCCCTAAACCCTAAACCCTAGACCCTGAATCCAAAACCCTAAACCCTACACCCTACACCCTAAATCCTAAACCCTAAACCCTTGTTCATGAGGCAGTTCCGGCCAGCCGGCGCGAAGACTTTGCGGCCCAGGTGGTGGCGCAGGTCTGCGCCCGCCGCCTCCTAGAGGTTGGGAAGGGGTTTAGGGTTTAGGGTTTAGGGTTTAGGGTTTAGGGTTTAGGGTTTAGGGTTTAGGGTTTAGGGTTTAGCCTGAAGGTTCGGCTGATTTCCAGTAGGGGAACCGCAATCCTAAACAGTTCCTAAACTGGCTCCTAAACTCACAAACCCAAAACAACCCAGCCTGAACAAAAAAGGCAGCAGATTTAATGATGGAATGATACAAGGGTGGCCCATCTTGACTACCAGTAGGACTTAGTTAGGGCTTAGGTCCAGCTGAGGGAAAGAGTGGCCTTAGTGTCGCCCTGATGCCTAACACCCCCAAACACCAAGCCTCAAAAAACTTTCCAAACCCCCCAAACCCTCCACAAACCCTCCAAAAGCCCTCAAGAAGCCCTCAGCCCTATGCATAGGCCCAACTTGCTAGCCCCGTAACCATATTGTAATGAGCGCACCCTTTTTTGGGCTGGTTAATTTAAAAGGGAACCCATAACAAAAAAAAAAGTAACGGGGTACCACTGGGCTACCAAACCCTAAACCCTAAACCCTAAACCCTAAACCCTAAACCCCAAACCCTAAACCCTAAACCCTAAACCCCAAACCCTAAACCCTAAACCCCAAGCCCAAGAGCAGTTGCCTCAAGCTGCCGCTTGGTCATGCCACGAAAGGTCGTGTCGAAACTTCGGTGCGCCATCCTGGCGTGTCTCATGGGTTTGGGGTTTAGGGTTTAGGGTTTGGGGGTTTGGGGTTTGGGGTTTGGGGTTTGGGGTTTAGGGTTTAGGGTTTAGGGTTTAGGGTTAGGGTGGCTCGGCCAGTTTTAGAGTCCTTTTTGATATTCGGCGGTGGCGAGTTTCTAGGGCTTCTGGGGGTTATAAAGGGTTTGTGTGATTTATCTGGCTTAGAGGGCTGACAGGGCCTGTGGGAATGATCGGGCGTATAGGGCTTGGGGCAAAGGCAAGGACTTACTTGTAACTCTAGTTCAGTTGTAACCTCTGAAGTAGTAGATCCTAGCAGGTATAGCCCATAAGTGCAGGCCAGATGGGGGCCCAGATAGGGTAATGTTATAGATGAGGAAAACGCAATGCAGCGGCGTGCAACGCAAATCAACGGCAAAAAACTCAGCGTAAAGTGGCAAGGCACCACTCTCTTGGCTTTTCCGGGCCACGGTGCTTGCAGGGATTTAATTAGATTGCTTTGGGGCTCAGGCTTTAAGGGGCTCCCCAAAACGAACTAGTTGCAGAGCTTGCAGCCCACTGAGCTCTTTCAAGCTCGTAAGGAATGTCTACGCTCACCTAAACCCAAAGGAGCCGAAATCCTCAACCCTGCACGGCGCCTCTACAGGGCCGTATGGGGCCACTGGTCATGAAAGGTCTCTCCACATCTGAGTTGAAACAGCTGAGGAAGCTGCATTGGCTGCCAAAATCCGGTCTGCCAAGGGCCAGACCCCTCTTCCTCTCTCTATGTGTATTTCCCAAAAAAGGGTGCCGCCTTGTATAACCCAAATAGAGTAGAATCCCCTCACAGGAACCCCCAAAAAGGGCAACTACTCTGATTTCCGGAGACACCCCTATCTTTCAAGGTTCTTAGAGACTTGGCAAGGACCCTCCCCGTGCACAGTGCGCGCCTAGCGCGGTGCCTCAGTCCATCTCTGTGTCTCTGCCAGTCTCTATCTCTCTTCCTTCCAGTATACGGTATATGAGAAACTTATATACATATTCTATTCCTACGTGTTTTTAATATTATATGTTGAATAAAACGAGCAGTTCCGTCTTTCGACCGCAGCGCTTGTCTTGAAAGGAACCGCATGCGCCGAGGCTCAACTTCGTATTGCCCCGGAGTCATTGCTTTCTTTAAACGTGGCGGACAGAAAACCTTGTGGCACAGGCACAACTCTCGCATACTCAGAACCTGTGACTTTCGTGGGCCATGCCATACTATCTACAGAAACAACACACAGAACAACATACTCAACAAGCCCCAATCACCTCACTGCGATGTCAACTTCCAAGCTTGCCCGGCAACTGGAAAATTCACAAGAGACCCCTCTGCCGCCAGATGACTGCTAATCTGCTAATTAAACAGTTGCAGGTGCCCTTACAGATTGCCGCAAAGCCAATGGCAGCTACAACCTTGCTTCTGAGGGTTTAGGGTTTAGGGTTTAGGGTTTAGGGTTTAGGGTTTAGGGCTAGGGTTTAGGGTAATACTTCCGAAAGCTGAAAGCATCTAAGCCCTACGTTCGGGCATTTGGGGTTGAGAAGCATTCCGAACTCACGGCGCAAGGCCTTGCTGAAATCTCGGCCGGAGGTGGACGTGAACATTTCTCGGCATCAAGGCCCCCTATCTAAGCCGCCGTTGTTGAGGAGGCCACGCCTGACTTCCCAGAATTTTTACATGGCGCTTGCCTCAGATTTACCTTACACCCTAAACCCTAAACAGTAAACCTTAAAGCCTAAACCCTTAACCCTGTGAATGAACCCTAAACCCTAGGTTATCTTGACAGGCTCCTCAGGGTAAGTTTTGGGGATGCTCTTCAGGACCTCAGCTGCTGAGAAATTCTGCCCTGGATTCAAAATTCCGAAGCCCAGGTTGCGTTCTGAGTATTTCGTGCCCCCAAAGGGGGCCACAAAGTGCGGGACATCCCGAACTAATCCCCTCCCCCCAATACTGGATACTCCCGTTATAGCTAAACTCTCGTGTATGGGAAATATGTAAACATCGGGGGGGAAGGGATTACCCTACGAAGAGAAAGGTTCGAAGACTCAGGAAGACGTTAAGATGCAGCGCCAAGCTTCTTGAACCGCCGGCGCCCCACTAGCAAAAGCCAAACCCTAAACCCCAAACCCCAAACCCCAAACCCCAAACCCGAAACCCTAAACCCTAAACCCTAAACTACCTCTAAACTCTAAACCCTAGACCCTTAACCCTAAACTCCAGTCTCAGCAGTCGATGTAGGGATGCTTCCCCGAGCGCTGAACTGATCGGGCCTGTGCATAGAGTTTCGGTTTAGGGTTTAGGGTTTAGGGTTTAGGGTTTAGGGTTTAGGGTTTAGGGTTTAGGGTTTAGGGTTTAGGGTTTAGGAATTAGGGTTTAGGGTTTAGGAATTAGGGTTTAGGGCTTAGGGTTTAGGGTTTAGCAGTTCGGTTGAGGACAGAGCTCACATGTAAGCCCCACAGCTACATCATGAGTGCCCCGCCGAACTCCTCAAGCCCCAAAGCGACGTTCTCAACCCGAGTATACATCACACTAAATCCTGTTGGCAGGTATTCGGGCTACGGCTACGAGTCAGGATCAGCTACAGCAAGCTGGCGAGGGTCCAAACCCTTCTAAACCCTAAACCCTAAACCCTAAACCCGAAACCCTAAACCCTAAAACCCTAAACCCTAGACAGGACCAAAGTCAATGACCAGAAAAGTAAGAATACGAAGAAGGAAACTCATAATCAGACAACACAAAACGTACTCGCAATCCTGAGAGTGCGGGCAAGCCCCCAAAATCCTCAAAACCTTCATCCTAACATTGGTCTTGCGGATGGACTCGGGACCCCACCTGCGCAAAGCAGTTTGATCTGTGCTTTTCAACTCACTGCCAGCACCTCGTCCACTGTACAGCAGCGTGCTTCTTACTGATGCAGAGTCGGCTGTAGGGCCAACTCCTCCAAGAGCACCAGTTGAGGCCCCATGTCTTTGCCCAGAACCCTAAACCCTAAACCCTAAACCCTAAACCCTAAACCCTAAACCCTCTACCCTTCTCTGAAGGGCTCAAGCACACCCTGTTCAGTCACCCAGATGGCTCCTACCCGACTTGAGACCCCTGTAAGGAGCGAAAAGAGGGAACTAAGAAGGCATCCTAGGGGGGGGGGGGGTAGATTGCAAGGTTTCCAGATGCTCCCTTGGGGTATTGGGATGCGGGGTTCCTTTTAGAAATCGTCCGGTTGAGCACTAGAAAAGCCAAATCACGACGCCCTTAAACCCTCAAACCCTAAACCCCCTAAAACCCTAAAAACCCTTAAACCCTAAACACCCTAAACTCCTAAAACCCTAAACTCCCTAAACCCCTAAAAACCCTTTACAGGGCCCTGAACCCTCTAAAGCTTCAGCTTCTGGGAATGCTAGGCTCTTGGTCCAAGGGCCCATATGGAGGTTCACGAAAATAGGGGCTAACATAAACCCCCAAATAGTAGGATTCCCGTAAAATAAGAACCCCAACAAGGCACCCCGAATTTTCGGAAACCCTAAACCCTAAACCCTAAACCCTAGACCCTAGACCCTTGACCCTAGACCCAAAACCCTAAACCCCAAACCCCAAACCCCAAACCCTAAACCCTACACCCTAAACCCCTGAACCCCAAACCCTTAAAAAACCCGTATTAAGGGCCCATGAATCTACCCTTAGATAGGCCGCCCTGACAGCCTCACATGGGCTCTGGCTGGGGTCCGGCGCTGGCTCTTCTGTAACGGCAAGGCCTAAGCCCTAGGCAACAAAACCCTGAACCCTAGAACCCGGAACCCTAAAACCCTGAACTCTAACCCTAAACCCTAAACCCTAAACCCTAAACCCTAAACCCTAAACCCTAAACCCTAAACCCTAAACCCTAAAACCCTACCTAAGCCTGCCGTTTCACACCGTTGTTCATCTTCTCGACCTTCATGACTCCGTCCTGCGACGTTGGCGACTTTGGGCTGCTTCGGGGTTTAGGGTTTAGGGTTTAGGGTTTGGGGTTTGGGGTTTAGGGTTTAGGGTTTGGGGTTTGGGGTTTGGGGTTTGGGGTTTGGGGTTTGGGGTTATGGGTTTGGGGTTTGGGGTTTGGGGTTTGGGGTTTGGGGTTTGGGGTTTGGGGCTTCGGGTTTGGAAATGGGGTTTGGGGTTTGGGGTTTGGGGTTTGGGGTTTGCGGTTCAGGATTCAGGGTTCCATGCTCCAGGTTGACCAGAGGAAGTGATAGCGTGGGTTTTCCGGCTTTAAGGGTTCTTAGGGGTTTCGGGATTTAGGGATTTTACGGGTTTAATGATAGTGTGGGTTTTAGGGGTTAAGGGCGTTAAGGGTTTTAGGGATTTTAGAGTTTAGGGGGGTTTAGGGTTTAAGGGCTTAGGTTTTTAAGGTTTTTAAGGGCTTTAGGGAGCTCAGGGGTTTTAATGAGAGTGTGGGCTTAGAGCTTCAGGGGGTTGGAGGGATTTAGGGCTTACGGGTCTCTTAAGGGTTTTCTGGTTTCTTGGTCTTTAGGGGCTTTAGGAGCTTTAGGGTTTTGGGGCTTTAGCGGCTTTCGAGATTTTGGGGTCTTACGACAATAAGGGACCTCAATAAGGTCCTCCCCAAACCCTAAAGCCTAAACCCTCAACCCTAAACCCTAAAACCCTAAAACCCCGAAAAACCCTAAACAAACCAAAAAAGCAAAGCCCTAAACACCCTGCAAAATTTTCCCAAGTTCCTCAAAGCCCTTTTATTTTTCTGCCTCGAGCAGCCACTTCTCGTTGCAGATCCGCTCAACGAAGTCGCTTTTCGGCTCGATCATGACGATGCCCCCGCGGAAGGTCGTGAGGGCCTGGAGGCAATTGAGGATTAGGGTTTAGGGTTTTTGGGTTTAGGGTTTGCGGCCAATGGTATGAAGATGGAACTTGAGGCACCATGAAGACCTGAACTGCGGAATCCGCCTGGCTCTCAGGGTGGGGGGGGGGGGGGGCGAGCATCTTTAGGGGCTTTCAGTTGGGATGTTCCCCCTTACACTAGCAGTCCTTCATAGGGAATATAGTACCTTCCCCCCCCCCCCCCCCCCCCCTATTGGAGTCCCTCTGAAGGACTGTTAGTATAAGGGGAAACATCTCAAGCTTTCGGAGGCTCTTCAGGTGAACCGAGGGGCAAGCCCTGAGCCCTGAGCTGCAAAGCTCAAGACCACACGGTGCGTCTGCTAAATTAGGGTCCCTTTTTGGGTTTAATGTGAGAGTCGCTTTTTAAATTGGGGTGGTAATAGTAATATTCGCCGGGCCAGAGGGCCCCAGCCGAAGACTACCTTCCATTACGGGCGGTTTTCGGGCCGATGTATGTAAACAAGTCTATATAGGGGGGTCCGGTGGTAATAATAATGGGGTGGTATTAGTAAAATTTTTCCGGCCAGGAATTGAAAATTTTACTGAAAATGGCTTAAGAGTTCCATTGCAGAGAAGACTTTTCAGCTGAGCTGGCTTGAAAGAGCTCCAAGGCTCAGTCTTTAGAGAAGCAGATCTGGTTTGAGATTGTTTGTCTTCTGAGATTTGACAGCTGACCCCCCCCGACCACCAGACCCCAGACCCCCAGAATCCTCATAATTGACACCCCGCATTTTTTTCCACCCCTTCAAACCCCGGGGACCAAAACAAGATTGGGGGGGGGGGGGGTTTATTAAAGGGACTCTAACATTAGGGTTTAGGGTTTAGGGTTTAGGGTCCTAAATAAGATGGGTCGCCATATAGTCAGTACCCCAAAAGGGACGATAATGCAGAGAAATCGCAAGATTTTGCATGCTGTCGCCACTAAGGCAGCCTTTCCCAACGCGTCCACGGTCTCAACGTCCAGATAGTTTGTGGGCTCATCCAGGGCAATAAAGTGCCTCAGTTTGGACTTTGCTTCCTAAACCCTAAACGCTAAACCCTAAATTTCAGTGTTCGGATTGGACCCCGAAGCCCCGAACCCCCTGAGTGCCTAACAGGAAGGTGCTGTCCAGATTCTTATGATTATGCTGCTCTGAATTTGCGCGAGTGGCTCATGGCTAAGAGTTCGGCTAGAGTGCAATCTACACATCATGCTGCAACATGTCATACCGGAATGTAGAGCACTTCACGGTCACTCAGCAAGGGGATTATTCAGTTTAGTCCAAGGGCCCTGAAATTAGAAATTCACACATGTACTAGGTTACTAGGCAAGATGCAAGCAAATCAAAACATGCAGGGCATCGCCTGCGCCCAATCTATCAGCTGCGCACCTTTTAAGCTGAAATACCCGAGACCCCGAAACTCTGTGGGAGTTGAAGGAAATCATGAACCTGAACGAAATCGTGAACCCTTCTCGGGTCTCGTGATTTTGGGCATCCTTTCAGTTTCGGGCAACAGGAAAATGTAGATGAACAAACTCAGAAGAACCGATGAGGGCCGGACGGCTTTGTCCAAAACATGGCTGCTAAGGACAGCCTCACCTGTCATCTGCACAGGGCTGCTAGCTGTTTAGGGTTTAGGGCGTTTAGGGTTTAGGTAGGGCTTAGGGCTTAGGAGCCTAAATAAACCCTAAGCCTTAAAGTACTGGGGCTAGGAGTTCAAGGCAGGCGGTGATCTAGCCACAGGGGAAGCATTGCAAAGACACTGGTGCAGGACCCTAGACCGGCCTCCATGCATAAGCTGCAGGTTTAGCCCATACATGATGATTCAAGCCACGCGTCTTACGTCACATGGGGGATTACGATATTAGGGGTACCTTATTGGGGTCCTTATTATAAGGGAATCCTACTATTTGGGGGTCGATTTCAGGGTCCCCTATTTTCGTAAGCCCTCACATCTGAATTCCTAAACGCCCTAAAGCCCGAGCCTTCTGCCCAGCAGAGAAGCCGCGAATCTGACGATTGCAGCACATCTCCTGGCAGCAACACTAGGGTTTAGGGTTTAGGGTTTAGGGTTTAGGGTTTAGGGTTTAGGGTTTAGGGTTTAGGGTTTAGGGTTTAGGGTTTGCAACATCCTTTCCCAAAAACTAGGGTTCGGGTTTAGAGTGGGTACCCTATATCCTAAACCAGTCGGGGCGAGGGCCTTAGACTTGTAGGGTTGAGGATTTAGTATTTACAGTAAGTGCCCTAAACTCTCAACAAGAGGCACAGAAATCAACGCGGCCTCGTCAATGCCGAAGGCTTCGCAATGCCTGCGCTGGGCCAAGGAAAATATTCAGAATCGGTTTCAGGGTTTAGGGTTTGAGGTTCCAGGTTCAGGGTTTGGGGTTTCGAAATCAGGGTCTTCAGCTAAGGTTTGGCTGTGGGTTTCGAGGTCTTGGGGTGTAGTGCGCATATGACTTGGGGAGTCGGGCTTAGGACCCTATTCTAAACCCTAAACCCTAAACCCTAAACCCTAAACCCTAAACCCTAAACCCTAAACCCTAAACCCTAAACCCTAAACCCTAAACCCCTAAAACCCTAAAACCGAAACCCTAAAACCCAAAACCCACAAATCCCCCAACCTCAGCCTCGACTCCCCAAGCAGCCTCTTTTGAAGAAGCATTATCCCGCAAAAGGTATCTCCCAAACCCTAAACCCTAAACCCTAAACCCTAAACCCTAAACCCTAAACCCTAAACCCCAAACCCTAAACCCTAAACCCCAAGCCCTAAACCCCAAGCCCTAAACCCTAAACCCTTCAGGACCGTAGTTTAGGAGACCTCCTAAACACCAGTCAACACCCTAAACCCAACGCCCCCCTATAACAATATAATCCAACAAAAAGCTAAACTCTGAACCCTAAACCCTAAACCCTAAACCCTAAACCCTAAACCCCCAAACCCGACAAAGGCCCGGACCTGACGATCTCTCGCCGTGTGAGTGGCCGCTGGTCCAGGCCGGCGGCCTGGCGGTTCGAGGGCTTCTTGCGGGGCCTTGAGGGTTTCGGGTTTATTGAAATTATTAAGGGTTCAGGTCCGGGGAAGTTTCGAGGAGTTTCTGTTTTGGGTTTTTCTGAATAATTTCAAGTTACAGGGGGCTTGAGGGTTTAGGGTTTGAGGTTTAGGGTTTAGGGTTTAGGGTTTATTCAGGATTTGGGGCTTTAGGAGCCTTGAGGGGCAGGGGGCCTGTAGGGTTTGGGGTTCATGAAAAGAGGTTTATCCGGGTTTGTAAGGTCTTATAAGGGCTTGTGCGTGCATGTAAAACATACTGGGTGAACTGGATATTCCAACTGATGTGTTCGACCGGCTCAGAATGGAGAACAAGTAAAGCAAACTAATCTAGTCGCGTGGGATTGGTTAGCTTGCGGTTGGTGAGCATGTAGTGTTTGCCGTTACTCATTGAAAGTCCGTTTTGCAGTCATAATCTGCTGAGTAGTTCGGGCGCTCACGATAGAGAGAGTGAGAGTGAGAGTGTGAGGGAGAGGGAGAGGGAGAGGAAGAGGGAGGGGGGAGGGCGAGGGAGGGAGAGAGGGAGAGAGGGAGAGTAATTCTAAACCTAAACCCTAAACCCTGCTTGGGGACAGAGACAGAGAGACATAGAGACAGAGGGACGGAGAGGCAGAGAGACAGAGAGCCGGAGCGACGCAGAGACGGAGCTACAGAGAGACGGAGAGACAGAGAGCCGGAGCGATAGAGAGGCAGAGAGATGGAGAGATTCAGATCGAAAGAGAAAGAATCCTCCGGCCTTGGCGGCAATCCGCTCATCGCAGGCGATGATGACCTTGTCCAAACCCATGGCCTGGTAGATTGCGCGATTGGAGAGTCGGGTTTCAGGGTTTCAGGGTTTCAGGATTCAGGTTTTAAGGGGGATGAGGGTTTAGGGCTTATCTGAGGTTGGAACCATGGGCCCTTAGTATGGTCCCTTGTATACCCTTGTTTACTTATAGGGATCCGAAGCACCAAGAAAATACCATTGTTTAATAAGGGAATGGGTCTTTACATGAATAAAAATGCAACATGTCATTCCTAAGGGGCCATAGCAACCCTATTCCCTTGGGTTTTTTTTAAACTAAATACACATACAACAAGCAATTTTAATATAAATACAAATACAACAGTAGTTCCTGAGGGGGGTTTCGCAACCCTAACATGCTAAAGCCCATAACTAGTTCATGGTTGGGATAGTATTAAAATTTTAAAATTATATTCCTTATTGGGTTTAAGTACCCTTAAAAATGTAAAATGTTACCCAACTACGACAAAGATAAGCAAAGCCCACCTTCAGCTTCGAGATGGGCTCGACGGTGTTCTGCTTCGGATCGTCCAGCCCAGCCTGGAAGGATGGTTTGGGGTTTAGGGTTTAGGGTTTAGGGTTTAGGGTTTAGGGTTTAGGGTTTAGGGTTTAGGGTTTAGGGTTTAGGGTTTAGGGTTTAGGGTTTAGGGTTTAGGGTTTAGGGTTTAGGGTTTAGGGTTTAGGGTTTAGGGTTAGGTTTAGGGTTTAGGGTTTAGGGTTTAGGGTTTAGGGTTTAGGGTTTAGGGTTTAGGGTTTAGGGTTTAGGGTTTAGGGTTTAGGGTTTAGGGTTTAGGGTTTAGGGTTTAGGGTTTAGGGTTTAGCGCTTAGGGCTTAGGGCTTAGGGCTTAGGGTTTAGGGGTCAAGGAAGAGTCTCTAGCTTTCGGTGTCAGGGCGTTCGGGTCTTAGAGCTTAAGGGGGAGTCCCGGGTTGTTTAGGAGAGGATGAACTTGGGATAATCTCCCTTATACTAACAGTCCTTAATGCGAATAATAGTATCTCCTATTATCATGCCTGGAAGGACTGTTTGTACAAGGGGGAACATCCCAAGCAATCAACCCTAACCCTAAACCCTAAGCCCTAAACCCTAAACCCTACACCCTACACCCTCAACCCTGAACCCTAAATCCTAAACCCGAACCCTGAAAATGAAAGCCTGTCGGACTTCGGCGCTCAGCGCCCCGCCCATCTCACCTCGTAGGCCAGATGGTTACCGACCTTTCAGGGTTTAGGGTTTAGGGTTTAGGGGTTTAGGGTTTAGGGTTTAGGGTTTAGGGTTTAGGGTTTAGGGTTTAGGGTTTAGGGTTTAGGGTTTAGGGTTTAGGGTTACCCTACGGGTTTACCCTACGGGTTCACTTCCAACGTGGCTTTTTGGAAGATAAATGTTAATAAATACAATAGGGTATCATTCAAATCCACGAGGTTCTATCTGGGGTAGCCAAAGCAACCCCATGAAACCCGATCCAAAGACCCTCCAGCATTGAAAGAAGCCCGAAACCCTGAACCCTAAACCCTAAACTTGTCAACCCTAAACCCTAAACCCTAAACCCTAAACCCCAAACCCCAAACCCTAAACCCTAAACCCTAAACCCTAAACCCACAGCGGGCCTTCGTTCGGCTCACAAGCTCCCCGACTTCATTGCCATACTTGCCGTGCTGCTTCGCGAGCTCCTCGACGGCTCCCAGCCACAAAAACCCAACATGTAGGATTTAGGGTTTAGGGTTTAGGGTTTCGGGTTTAGGGTTTAGGGTTTAAGGTTGAGGGTTCCGGGTTTGCGGGTTAGGGTCTCCGGCTTAGGGTTTGGGACACCCGCACGGTTTCCACCTGCGAAGTGGATTCCCGGTGTCTTGAGCCCCCCCCAAAAGGCGCTTTCTCACAGGAGAGTTCTTTGATGGCAAACAAGGAGCAAACATGCCACATGATCTCTATACAGGGCAACAGCGAAACGAAGGGCACGAAACTGCCCCAAAACCCCCGGCGCCTTCCGTCGCAAGGCGTCTTCTTCATCTTCTGGCCTGGATGCAAGAAGACATAGGGTTTAGGGTTTAGGGTTTAGGGTTTAGGGTTTAGGGTTTAGGGTTTAGGGTTTAGAGTTTAGGGCTTAGGGCTGAGGGTTTAGGGTTTAGGGTTAGGGTTTAGGGTGGACGGGCAACTTAGTCGGCAAGTGTGCAGGCTAGCATGCAGAACGAGGAAGTAGGGAGTGCAAGTCAGTGGCCCTACAGACCCCTTAAACCCTCAACCCCTAAATAGGGGTCTCCGATATAAGCCTCATCATAAGGGGATTCTGATATTTGGGGGTCTATATTCTATCTTAGGGTACCCTAAACCCTAAACCCTAAACGCTAAACGCTAAACCCTACACCCCCACATGTCCTACTCTGCACAAGTAGAGCCACTGCCGGGGGCTGGGCTCAATGAGCCTTTTCTGAAGATCGCCGTCGTAGCCATCCTCTGCGAGCATATAGACAGGGCTGAGAGTGGTTTTAGGGGGGTTGAGGGCGGGGGGAGGGTAGGATGAGAGGAAAAATTGAGGGTTCAGGGTTTAGGGTTTAATTGTGACTACTTGGGATGTAGTAGCAGCTCCTTCATAGGGATTCCAATAGGAGGTACTAAAATCCCTATTCAGGACTGTTAGTATAAGGGGGAACATCCCAGTGACTACCGGCTTATCTTGAAGACTGGAGAGTATGTAGGGTACCCAGTTCCCCAGTTCCGTACGTTGGTAGCCCCAGGAACCATATCATAATAAGGACGCCCTTGTTCCGGGTTGGTTACTTTATAAGGGAACCCAGAACCCAAAAAGCGGCAAAGGGTACACCTGTCGACTGCGTAGAGTCTAACGTCTAGACAACGACCGGTACGGGGAGGAGCCGGACACCCCGCCGCCCTGCTTGATGCCATCCGCTCTGAGCACTAAACGCCGCTAAGTCCTAACATGTCCTAACAAAGGCTCTAACAAACTCTAAACCAAAAATCCTGGCAGAACTGCAAGAGGTACCACAACCGAGGTGCCGGCCTTGAAGCGCTCAGTGATGTACACGAACCTCGGCGCTTCCGTGCATAGAAGTGTACACGTCTGAGTTCGCGGTTCAAAGTCTCTGGGGTTAGGGATTTGGAGCCGTAGTGCTTTGGGGTATTACGGCTGTCCGGGCTTTGCTAGGGGCATTTCGGCCCGTGTTGTTTTTGAAAGGACCCCAAGGAAGCACCACCATCAGCTTACGAAGGCTTCTGCAATAGCACCAGTTTTCTTGAAAGCTCAGGATTGCACACCAACCGTCATCACAGATACCCTCAACCCGAAACCCTATACTTGCCAACCCTAAACCTATACATCCTGAATTCTAAACCCTAAACCCTAAACCCTAAACCTGCTTGAGGCGCTGGCGGCGAAGTGTCGAAGAAAGGGCCCAGGGCCTTGAGGTGGTCCTCGCAGGAGTTTCGGGTTCTTTGGAGGTTTGAGGGGCTTGCAGGGTCTTGGAGTTTGGGGGGGTTTAGGGTTTAGGGTTTAGGGTTTAGGGTTTAGGGTTTAGGGTTTAGGGTTTGAGGTTTAGGGCTTAGGGGGTTTGGTCATGAGTCAGGGTTTATGGTGGTTCAGGGGTTTAGGGCTTTTCAGGCCGTTTAGGGTTTTGGGCTTACAGGGATTCAGGGCGAGGCTACATGGTTTTCACAGGGTGTTTGAGGAAAATTTGTCTCGGGGAAAATCAAGCCTAGTTCCTTGGGTACCGAATTTTCCGTCATTCAACGAAAACCCTTTCGGGGCTTTGCGGGAAGAACATGCAAAACCCTAAACCCTAAACCCTAAACCCTAAACCCTAAACCCTAAACCCTAAACCCTAAACCCTAAACCCTAAACCCTAAACCCTAAACCCTAAACCCTAAACCCTAAACCCTAAACCCTAAACCCTAAACCCTAAACCCTAATTAAACCCTAAACCCTAAATCCCGGAACATTCAGATTTGGGAAGGTCGAGGTCGCAGGGTGGCCTCCTGGGAGGGCTTGCAAGCCTTACGAGTATGGGCTTGGGGCTTCCCCCCCCCCTAAACCCTAAACCCTAAACCCTAAACCCTAAACCCTAAACCCCCATAAGCCACAAAAGCCCTAAACTTCTCGTTTTAACTCTTCGAAGTGCTGGCGCCTGCTGAACCCTAAACTCTAAACTAGACACCCTGGTTTCTATCTCCTGCTTCATGTAGGCAAGGCGGAGGTTATGATGCCGCCAGACCTGGCAGGAGAGAGGTGGTTCAACTCCCGGCTTGCCCTGAATCCGGTTTAGGGTTTAGGGTTTAGGGTTTCCGATTCCCTTTCGCTTTAGCACGAGAACTGCATGCAAGTAGGGAATGAGGGAATGAGGTACCCAATAGAATCCCTTAAAGGGTACATGTAGGGGGATACAGGGTCTCATTCCTTCATTCCCTACTAACCAACCGTAAGCTGAAGCTTCTGGGGGTTTGGGGCTTGGGGGGCAGTAGCACTTGCGCACGCTGCGCACCTCACCGTGCCCGCCATCCTTGTTGTCCGAGGGATGCAGCCTCGAAAGCGAGGCAGGATTCCCCGTGTGCTTACGACTACCATTCCAGCGGTGCCGACAACATTGAACACTTTGGCCGACTGCTCGGGACTCTCTCTCTCTACATATATACATATATATATATACATATATATATATGTGTATAAATATATGGTCAGCCCCCCCCCCATGATCCACACCTATGGTTTTCTTGTCTTCGTCTTTGTCTGATTTTCTGCTTTTTCCTCGGAAAAATGCAGTAAAAACTGCACTGGAATACAAAAGCTCTATTATATTATCCTCTAGAAAAACACCTGTGTTTTTATGTGCATTTTGCTTCTGAAACTTGTGTCTTGCGGCCCCATAAAATTTTTGAAGGGCAGCCATTTAGAAGTTTAAGGCTTTTCAGGGTTTAGGGGTTTATAAAACCTAGATGATCTGTGGAAGGCGCCGGGGCTTCCCCAGACCATTTGCAATCCTTAAAAGGGGCAGCCCTTTTCAAATTTGAAGAGCTTTAAGGTATTTAAAGCCTTTCAAAATTTTCAAGATTTAAAGGATCTTAAAAGGCTTTAAAGCCCTAACAAACCTCGAAACGTTTATCCCTTAAAAGTCTAAACTTCCTTAAAAGGAAAAAAACAAAAACGGGCAGCCGATTAAAATTAAGGAAGTTACGGATTTTGGAATTGAACATCCTAAAAACTTTAAACTTCAAAAGGACAGCCATTTACAACTGCAAGAATTTCAGGGTTTTACGGATTTGTAAAAATTTATATGGTCTGGGGAAGGCACCGGGGCTTCTCCAGACCATTGGCAACTTCAAAAATCTCTAAAACCCGCAAAGAGCAGCCACTTAAATACGTAAGCAATTTAAGGTCTTTAAAAGGCTTAAAAGGCTTAAAACCTTCATAATCCTGAGAATGTTTAAACAGAAGCTTAAAGATTTTTATAAGATTTTAAGGATTTTCAAGGTTTAGATGGTCTGGGGAAGCCCCAGTGCCTTCCCCAGATCATGTAAACTTGCAAAAACCCTTAAACCCTTAACCCTAAAAACTTAACACTAAGCCCGTAGAAACCCTCAACACTAACCCTACAAACTTAACACTAAGCCCTTAGCACAAACCCCAAACACTTAACATGAAACCCTAAACACTTAATTAAGCACTAGACCCTAAACACTAAACCCTAAACACTTAAACACTACACCCTAAAAACTAAACCCTAAAAACTAAACCCTAAACAGTACACACTAAACCCTACACACTAACCCTACACACTAAACCCTGAACACTAGTAAAAATCTTAACGCCCTGAATCCAAAAAACAAACCCGAAACCCTTAACACTACTAAACCCTAAAAACTCAGCACCAGACCCTAAACACTAACCCTAAAAACTTAACACTAAGCCCTTAGCACAAACCCCAAACACTTAACAGGAAACCCTAAACACTTAAGCACTAGACCCTAAACACTAAACCCTAAACACTTAAACACTACACCCTAAAAACTGAACCCTAAACATTACACACTAAACCCTACACACTAAACCCTGAACACTAGTAAACATCCTTAAGACCCGTAACCCAAAAAAGACACCGAAACCCTTAGCACTGAACCCTAAACACTCAACACTAGACCCTTAACACTAAGCCTAAAAACTTAACACTAAGCCCTCAGCACGAACCCCAAACACTGAACACGAAACCCTAAACACTTAAGCACTAATCCCTTGCTAAACACTAAACCCTAAACACTTAAACACTACACCCTAAAAACTAAACCCTAAACATTACACACCAAACCCTACACACTAAACCCTGACAACTAAACCCTAAACCCTAAACAGAAGGATTTTCAAGTTGTCAATGGTCTGGGGAAGCCCCGGCTTCCCCAGATCATTTAAATTTGTAAAAACCCTTAAAACCCTTAACCCTAAAAAACCAAACCTGAAACCCTTAACACTAAACCCTAAACACTAACCCTAAAAACTTAACACTAAGCCCTTAGCACAAACCCCAAACACTTAGCACGAAACCCTAAACACTTAAGCACTTAACCCAGAAACCTTAAACATTTCAAACTAAGCCCTAAACAGTAGACACTAAACCCTGAACACTAATCCCTAAACCCTAAACAGTAAACCCCAAAGCCGGAACCTCGAGCCCTACTAAATCTAAACCTGAAACCAAAAACCCGTCGGGGTTTCAGATGCTTACTGTTTGGATTTCAGAGTTTAGGGGTTTTTTGGGGTTTTACCCGAGCCGCTTGACCCTAACCCCTAAACCCTAAACTTAACACTCAACCCTAAACACAAAACACTAAACCCTGAAACCTACACACTAAACCCTAAACACTAGACTTCCAGAAAAAATCTGAAGAACCCAGCCCCGGACTCCAGACTCCAGATTTCCAGAAAAAATCTGGAGTACCCGGGCCCCGGACTCCAGACTCCAGATTTCCAGAAAAAATCTGGAGTACCCAGGCCCCGGACTCCAGACTCCAGATTTCCCGAAAAAATCTGGAGTACCCGGGCCCCGGACTCCAGACTCCAGATTTCCAGAAAGAATCTGGAGTACCCGGGCCCGGACTCCAGACTCCAGATTTCCAGAAAAAATCTGGAGTACCGGGGCCCCGGACTCCAGACTCCAGATTTCCAGAAAAAATCTGGAGTACCCGGGGCCCCAGACTCCAGACTCCAGATTTCCAGAAAAAATCTGGAGTACCCGCGGCCCCAGACTCCAGATTACAGACTCCAGAATCTGGAGTCCAGGGTCCCGGTACTCCAGATTTTTTCTGGAAATCTGGAGTCTGGAGTCTGGAGGTACTCCAGATTTTCTCTGGAAATCTGGAGTCTGGAGTCCGGGGCCCGGGTACTCCAGATTTTTTCTGGAAATCTGGAGTCTGGAGTCCGGGGCCTGGGTACTCCAGATTTTTTCTGGAAATCTGGAGTCTGGAGTCCGGGGCGTGGGTACTCCAGATTTTTTCTGGAAATCTGGAGTCTGGAGTCCGGCGGTACTCCAGATTTTTTCTGGAAATCTGGAGTCTGGAGTCCCCCCCCCTCCCAAAACCCCCTTCCCGAGGCCAAATGTGTGGATCATGGGGGGGGGGGCGAGCAAATATATCTATGTGTAGAAATATATGTGTATATATTTCAATATACATATATATATATATATATACGTATATAGGAGAAAAACAGAATATTCTCTGAATTCAGCACATATATATATATATTTATTTATTTATTTGCGTATATACCACATTCGCTAGGATCGTGGCTCACTACACAGCAGCGTCATGAGAGTCGACTTTCCACACCCATTCCTGTGTCAGCAAGCAAAGCACACACACACATACCTACCTTCATCCCCACTGGTACATTTAGGGTTTAGGGTTTCGGGTACTTCACTACACGCCAAATCATCGAACAAAAAAACATCTGCGGCTAAACCAAGATGATAGATGTGAGTGGAACCGTTGTCCTGCCGCAGATGGCCACACGGGAGCTCAGACTCAGCTTGCCAGTGCAATTCTGGAAGAGGTACTCCTGCACCGCGGCTGAGAGGCACAAGCTTACCATGTTCGTAGGGCTCTTGGCCTTGAGTTGTCGTTTCAACTAGGGTTTAGGGTTTAGGGTTTAGGGTTTAGGGTTTAGGGTTTAGGGTTTAGGGTTCAAGGTTTAGGGTTCAAGGTTTAGTGTTTAGGGTTTAGGGAAGGTCGGAAGGTTAAGGAGAACGTGATGCTTTTTGTTTCACGCCTCATGTGGCACGTGCTGGGCACCGAAAAAGTCCAACAAACAACAACCCTTAACACCCTCCTATATAAATGGACCCGAAACCCTAAAGAACCTAAATAATAAACCCTAAAAAATAAGCCCTAAATAATAAACCCTAAATCATGTAAACCCGAAATTATATAAACTCTAAATGATACCAGCTCGGAATGATATGAAACCTAAACAATAAACCCTAAACCCCCATATATGATTCAGCCCCGGCGGGCCCCCCCCCCCCCCCCCCCCCCCCCCCCCCCCCCAATGGTACCCCCCCCCCCCTGTGGTGTGGTTGGGGGTTGGTTTTAGGGTTTTAGGGTTTAGGGTTTAGGGTTTAGGGTTTTAGGGTTTTAGGGTTTTAGGGTTTAGGGTTTAGGGTTTACGGTTTAGGGTTTTAGGGTTTAGGGTTTAGGGTTTAGGGTTTAGGGTTTAGGGTTTAGGGTCCCCGCGGATGGGGTACTAAGATGATCCCCCCCCCCTGTGGTGTGGTTGGGGGTTGGTTTTAGGGTTAGGGTTTAGGGTTCAGGGTTTTAGGGTTTAGGGTTTAAGGTTTAAGACTTAAGGTTTAGGGTTTAGGGTTAGGGTTTAGGTTTTAGGGTTTAGGGTTTAGGGTTTAGGGTTTGGGGGTTTAGGGTTTAGGGTTTAGGGTTTAGGGACCGTAGAGTAGACTTGGGGGGGGGGGGATACCATGGGGGGGGGGGGCCCAGGACGCTCGACGCTGAACCATATATACCGTTTCGGGTTTAGGGCTATAGACCCTGGACCATGATTCCCGGCCTTGTCCTTCGAAAAGCGAAAGGACACGTGCCTAAGTTGCCGCAGCCCACACATGTGAGAACATCAGGTAGCGCCAGAAGACTCCAGGGTCTAATCTAGGGGCCCTAATTAGGGTTTGAAGTTTGGGGGGGTTAAAATAGTATTCATGTATACGGCTTAAGGGAATACGATGAGTAAAAAAATCCGACCCCTATGTTATGGAGCTTAGGGTTTTTTGAGCTCTGTTCTTGGATGTACGGAATGTATAGTGTATAGAAGCATGAGCCCGGAGGCCTCCCAAAACATGGGAATCCAAAACAGGAATACCAGTGAGTAGCCGGGTACTGAATATGGGGACATACGTTTCTCCATACATTCACGAGCAATGAGCAGCCTAAACCCTAAACCCCAAACCCCAAACCAAAAACCCTAAACCCTAAACCCTAAACCCAAAACCCAAAACCCAAAACCCAAACCCTAAACCCTCAACCGAGGGTGCGGCTTGATCTCCAGAACGCTTTTGGAGCCAGTCCTGAGCTCAAACGCCCTGCGTTCCCGCAGGTGTCTCGTCTTGGGGGCCACAGGATCCCTAAACCCTAAACCCCAAACCCCAAACCCGAAATCCCGGCACACTCTACCCCCCCAAAATAGGGAGCTGTGCCCCAAACTTATGGTCTTATGGCTTGTGCACAGAGAGCCCAACACCGATGAAACCATATGTTCGTTTGTGTTGTTCGTTTGAAAGTGCCGCTGCGAGACATGGACAGTCTGGACGCCTCAGAGCCTGTGAGTGAGTGAGTGAGTGAGTGAGTGAGTGAGTGAGTGAGTGAGTGAGTGAGTGAGTGAGTGTTCGTTTGAACTTTTTTCGACCATGCAATCCAAAACTCTCCTGCGCGCTCATCGCCTGAAGAACTGGAGTTGCAATACACAGTGATCCTCAGCCACAAACCTTGCGACAGCTACATTGAAATCATCTCAAACTCTCCCGAAACTGTGAAACCGCTTTCGATCTCAAAGCCCAGGACCCCCCTAGCGCTACCTAAGCCCTACCCCTCTAAACAATCAACATCCCTCAACCCTAAGCCCTCCAGGCCCTGAAGCCCACTTTACTCTGAACTCTAAACACCCAAAACCTAAACACCGTAATCTACCATTTGCCTCAGAAGCCCCAAAGAATGAAAGATACCTAGTTCAATATTGCCCTGACAAGGAAGAATGTTTTGGTCTGCTTTTTGTGTTTCTTAGCGAATGGCACTGAACACCCTAAACCCTAAACCCCAAACCCCAAACCCTAAACCCTAAACCCTAGCCCTAAACCCTAAACCCTAAACCCTAAACCCCTCCCCTCTGGGACGCGCGCTTCACACCCTCCATGGACCCGGGGATGGGAAAGGTGAGCTTCGGTGGCCCGGCTACCGGCGCTGCGACCTCGCACTTCAGCGGCTTGCTGTTTAGGGGTTTTTGGGGTTTGGGGGTTTAGGGTTTAGGGGGTTAGGGTTTGGGGTTTAGGGGTTTAGGGTTTAGGGTTTGGGGTTTAGGGTTTGGGGTTCAAGGTTTAGGAATTAGGGGACTTAGATGGGATTTTGGGCTTTGGGTTTTGGGTAAGTACGGTTGCAGATCAGGCTACTGTATGGCAAGTACAGCGTAGCTTGGGGTTACTTATCTCCCCACTTGGAACCCTAAGCCTAAACCCTAAACTCCAAACCCTAAACCCTGAACCCTAAACCCTGAACCCCAAAGCCTCACCAAGATGCTTGTTCTGTTTTTGAAGCTCCGGCTTTTGGGTCTGGGGATGTGCAAAGACTGGAAGTAGAAATCAGTAGGGCTTAGGGCTTAGGGTTTAGGGGTTAAATATAAACTGTACAAGACACCCCTAAGACCCGAATCGGATACCAGGAGTTCAACAAAGCTAGGCGCCAGGAGGCGGAGGACATGAGCCGAGCTAGATCTGCATACCCCACTGAGCATTTGTGCTCCGACGTTGGAGAAGGATTCGCTTGAGCAGAGTTTAAGGCCCACAAAACCCCCAAACAACCCACCCAAGCCAGGAGCCTGACCTGAAGCAGGTCTTGTCTCACCAATATTGACAAGGAGCCCCTATATACACTCACTAATAGCAGCAATTCAAACCCCAGCAGAGCTGAGTGCCTGGCCTTTCCCACAGGTGATGCGCCTGGCAAGCATGACGCTTCGAAACAGTTAGGGTCTTCGAGGTTTAGGGTTTAGGGTTTAGGGTTTAGGGTTTAGGGTTTAGGGTTTTGGGCTTCCGTGTCTATCTTGTATGGCGAGGTAAGGATTGCACTCGGTCAGACCGGGCATCGAAGGCGGAATCTGATGAAGGTACCGAGAGACTGTTTTGCAGAAGCTGGCTGGAAGAGCTAGACCACTTGGTAGCCCAGCAACCATATTATAATAAGGGCACCTTGTTTTGGTTGATTACTTTAAAGGAGAACCCAGAGCAAAAAAAGGGTAGAGGGTTACCTCTGGTCTACCAAGACCATGGCCATAAACCCAACAGCCTACCGTCCGAAGTCCTGGGCAACCAGCAGGCAATCTGCCTTGCAATCCACCTGCTCTCTGCCGAAGCCTCGGAAATCCCCTACGACTTGGAGGTTCAGGTTACTTATACCGCCAATTACCACTGTCCTTCTATGCCCCCTAAGTCCTCTAAGTGTAGGTTATAAGTAGACGTAGAACTACGGTACTAAGCACCCATGAGCCTGCAAGTAGAACAGCCAGCGTTCGGCCTTCTTCGTCTTCTTCATCACCTTCCTTCTTGGTGTCGAAGCTGAGGTTGCCGGACAACATGGCGTCGATCTGTTCCTGCACTGGTTACCCTAAACCCTGCAGCAGCAGCAGCAGCAGCAGCAGCAGCAGCAGCAGCAGCAGCAGCAGCAGCAGCAGTACAAGGAGGAGGAGGAGGAGGACTAGTCTTCAGCACCTGCGAAGGCTTCCTAAAAGTCGAGAAGTCGGGACAAGCTCTGACCAGAGACCAGAAGAAGAGGGGCTGGCTGTCCCTGCTCAAGCCCTTCTTCTGCGCGAAGATGTCGAAGTTGCCTCGCCAGGGTTTAGGGTTTAGGGTTTAGAGGGTAGAGGGTTTAGGGTTTAGAGGGTAGAGGGTTTAGGGTTTAGGGTGTAAGGTCTCCTACAGCACTCTCAACCTCGAAAGCCAGCACCCAAAACACACTCTCTCAGCTGTTCCTCTCTCAGCAGGCTAGGGAAGTAGCCTCCCTGACCACACACATGCTCTTCTCCCCCCCTCTCTCCCTCCTCCCTCACTCGAAATCCAATCATTCTTGAGGTGGAAGGTTTGGAGGTGCCGAACTCGGAACCCCCGAAAATGGCGGGTTTCTTCTGGCGAGTGCAAAAGACAGGAGGTTTGCGCGCGGTTCGGGTCGTCACCTGGCCCGCTTTCTCTCGCAGTCTCTCGTGCCATGCCTTCTGTGTACTCCAGCTTTTTGTCCACGTACGCGACCACCTGTGCAGCTCGATGCCAAATCACAGCTCCGGATGCGTTTGAGCTTCTGCTGAGCACTGAGGGGGGCACATGGGTGCAAATCTTGTTCAAGAACTTCGGTTCGTGAGAAATGACCTGGCGAATCGAGACAGAAGTCTTCATCGACCCTCCAGACCCTAAACCCTAAACCCCAAATCCTAAACCCTAAACCCTAAACCCTAAACCCTAAACCCTACAGGCAAAAGCGGCCATGACGGAAGACTTCGTAATGGACAGGATGTAGTCCTCGGATTGGTCACTCAAGTCTCGCCTCCAAACTTTTAAACGACACCCCTAAACCCTAAACCCTAAACCCTGAACCCTAAACCCTAAACCCTCTGACATTCCTCAGCTAAGGCCCTGGCACTTAGCCACTGGACTGATTCCTCATCCAGGTGGTTCCTCAGCTGAAGCCAGACATCCCAAAAGGCCCTTTTTGGGATTCTACAGGGTGTAGGGCGCCTACATTAGTATACTATAGCATATTGATGAAATAGCATAATACTATATGAGCTGTTTTACTGTACTAATATACTAGTTTATGAGTATATTGTGTACTTCGCATATTGTTATACTAGCATATCATTCTACTACTACAATGACTATATGGGGTTTCCGATTTTAGAGTACCTTGCAGTGGTCCTTATTTATAAGGGAATCCTACTATTGGGGGGTCCATTTTAGGGGTCCCCAACCCTAAACCCTAAACCCTAAACCCTAAACACTATCGCAAATCCCATATTGTGACTTGCTAAGCACCAGGCGTGGGCTCATCCAGGAGAACGAGGTCTGCATGCTTCAGCATGGAGACGGCCAGAGTTAGGCGCATCCTCCCCAGATCTTACGACTGCGTCGGGTTGAGGGTTTAGAGTTTAGGGTTTTGGGTTTTGGGCTTAAGGCAACACTCACAAACCTAAGATCGGCTTTTGGGGCCCTTTTTAAAAACACGGCCTCTTCCATTATTCGATTTTTCTGGGTACCCGAAAGGGACCAAATCTAGAGAACTGATCATAAACTTACAGGCTCAGGGAAGTTACTAGGTAGCTTGCAAACCATGCAGGTTGCAAACAGCATTGCTTGGGGCACTTGAAGCCCACATGTAACCTCGCCTCGTAAACCCTGAACCCTAAGCCCTACTTACTAGACAGTTGCCTGCAGGTATTAGTTTAGTATTGTATTTCCATATTATTCGACTATGATATTCCTATATTCTTACATTCGAATTTTCTCATATTCTTATACTTTATGTTCTATTCTAATTTTCTTACATGATTAAGGCATTTTACTCTCACATTCTGTTGCATTGCTGTCTTATTAATATATTACATGATTGTATCTCACTTCAGATTCTGTTATTATGAATCGAAAGCCCTCAACTCTAAACCCTAAACCCTAAACCGTAAACCGTAAACCCTAAACCATAAACCCTAACCCCGAAACCCTAACCCCTAAACCCTAAACCCAAACCCTAAACCCTAAACCCCAGAAGACGCCTCCATCCTGTCGACAGCTCCGAGACTGGGTCGTTGAGCTTGGCTTCATCGAAGCCGACCTTCACAAAGCAAGGGTTTAGGTCTGAACCCCTGAACCCTAAACCCTAAACCCCATGCAAACCCTAAACCCTAAACCCTAAACCCTAAACCCTGAACTGTAGGGGGTTTAGGGCGGTAAGGGGGTTTTTAGGGTTTTACGGTTTTAGAGTGTTTTGGGATTTTCCGGATTTAGGTTGGGATGTTCCCCCTTATACTATCAGTCCTTAGTCGGGGTTCAAGTTGGGGTACTATGGTCCCTGTTGCGGGCTGTTAGTACAAGGGGAACATCCCAAGCGGTTTAGGGTTTTGGAGTTTTAGGGTTCTGGGGTTTATAGGGGGTTTTTAGGGTTTGGGGTTTTGATGGGGTTTCGGGTTTTGGGGTTTATAGGGTTTCTGCGCTTACGGATGTTTAGGGCTTCAACCCTAGCGTTGAGGGTTGAAATATGCAACCTTACCAGAGCTAGTGATACTACAATGGCGAAGCCTCCCCCCCTCCCCTCCCTCCCCCAAAAAAAAAACATAGTAACAATAATAGTAAGAAGAAGAAGAATTTTGTAGAAGCAAAATGCTCCACAAATTGAGGCCTAAACCCCCCTAAGCCAAGAACCCTAAGCCGCCCCAGCCCCAAACCCCAAAACACCTCGCCTTTAGCAGCGTGTCCCGGCCGGCATCGTTCACTCCGATGTCCTGCCAGCACTGGGCGTTTGGCTCAGGGATTGTGGGGCGGGTGTAGGGCTTAGGGTTTAGGGTTCAGGGTTCAGGGTTTCGGGTTTAGGGTTCAGGGTGTTTCGGAGCTATCAGGGCTTCAGGCCCTTTGGAGTTTACGCAAGACATCATCGGACGCAGTGAGAAGCATGGAGGCTGCGTTCTGCTCGCCAATCACGAGTTGACTCTCGAACCTCTGCCTCTAGAAGCACAAACCTTCAAATAGATCATGAAACAGAGGCTTTCAAAACATTATTACACCAATACTAATAATTTCGTAGACCTCCCCAACCTCAACGATGCAAACTGAACTGTTCACGAGCATGAGGCAAGCAGTTCGGGATGTTCCCACTTATACTGACAGCCCACCCTAAATTACGAAACCCCCAAACCCTAAACCCCAAACCCTTAATAGAGATTATAATTGGGGGGCACTATAATTCCTGTTAAGGATCTGTTAGTATAAAGGGGGAACATCCCAACAACCAGCAATTGCCCTTTCAGGGATGACAAGTAAGGACAAGTTCATTAGGGTTTAGGGTTTAGGGTTTAGGGTTTAGGGTTTAGGGTTTAGGAAGACTGTACAGTTTGGGATGTTCACCCTTATACTAGCAGTCCTTAGTAGGGATTCTAATCGGGGGTTGCTATACTCCCTCTTAAGGACCTGCTAGTATCAGGGGGAACATCCCAATCCTTGGCTGCACAGGGCCCTAAACCCTAAACCCTAAACCCTAAACCCTAAACCCTAAACCCTAAACCCTAAACCCTAAACCCTAAACCCTAAACCCTAAACCCTAAACCCCCAAACAGCTTTCAAGGGTCTGCCCTTCGCAGCCTTGGCCATCTTGATACAGTACTCCAGCGCCTCTGCAGGTGTGTGGGGAAACTCGATATTTGGGTTTAGGGTTTAGGGGGTTTAGGGTTTAGGGTTTAGGGGGTTTAGGGGGTTTAGGGGGTTTAGGGTTTAGGGTTTAGGGTTTAGGGTTTAGGGTTTAGGGTTTAGGGTTTAGGGGTACCTTTTGGGGGTCCTTAGGAAAGGGGGGATCCTACTATTCTACTATTTGGGGGTCTATGTTTGGGGTCCCTTACTATCGTAAACCCCCCGGGTATGTTTTCAGCTTATGTCATGTGCCTAACCCATCCAGCAGCTTAAGCTGCAACCTCTTCAGCCCCAAAACCCATAACTCACGAAACTTGAAATCCCTAAAGCACCACAATCTTAAGAACTCTAAACCCCAAAAGCTCCTTCTAAAAGCCCCCAACAAGCCCCTCACACCTTACTTCAGGAAGTCCTTCACCTGCATGAAGGTGTGATATACAACATACATCTCCTATATATACGTATATATATATGTGTGAATATGTGAATATTATACATGAAACCGTGTAACATCTAACATATATATATATATATCATATATCCATCTATATTTTAATCCAAATACAACCTATGTGCATACAAACTATAGGCCGCAACATACACGACATCGAACATGACACACAAGGGAAAGCAAAATATATAACGCAATACAATATGATATGAATATGACAGATTGTAGTATTGCCGGATAACTTGTAAGAAACCAAAAGGAAGACAGCATAAATGAATGGACTTTCAACAGGGTATGTAATATACAAAATATGCTAAACCATAATCTTCTTGCATAGTATGACATCTTTCAATATATGTTTCAACCATGACATAAAATCAATCAATTTAGCACTCGCAGTACATATTATATGAAATAGAACACTCGCTTTCTATAAGATCTCATATACCATGAATGATCACTACCACATAAGCCATGATATAAAATGCATTGTCAATCTCAACAAGAAATAGTACTTCATATATATATATATATATAGATACATATATATATATACATACACAGATTTGTGTGTGTGTGTTTACTTACTTACCAACATTTACTTCTACAGAATATGTAAGCCATAATGCGCAATATATTTTTCTATTTGTATATGACCTTGGGCGCTGGCTGTCAAGTAGCTCTTGCTCATCTCCCCCAGCTTCGAGTCGTCCACATGGACGCACTTCAAATCCTTCCGGGGTTACAGGGTTTTGGGGTTTAGGGTTTCTAGGGTTCAGGGTCTTTTGGTTTAGGGACTGAGGATTTAGGGCGTAGGGCAGGTTGGGCCTGACGATTTGGGGGGGGGCACGACGCATCGGAATTCGTGCATTCCCGATGAGATGCTACACTGGGGTGATTGGCTCTGGGACCCAAAACTAACCCTAAACCCTAAACCTCAAACCCCGAACCCTAAACCCTAAATCCTAAACCCTAAACCCTGGCTGTTCAAGGGCGGCCCCTTTGAGCTGAATGACATTTTTGAAGGGGAGGAGCATTCCCTTCGACATGAGTTAGGGTTTAGGGCTTCGGCTTCGGGCTTAGGGCTTGGGGTTTAGGGTTTAGGGTTGAGGGTTTAGGGCCCCTGAAAAGCGCACCCGCAACCCATGAAGACCAGACCCCTGGTAGTAGGGAATGAGGGAATGAGGTACCCTATATCAACCCTTAAAGGGTATATGTCGGGCCCGAAAATTGCCTCATCCCTGCTAAGAACCAGGGACCCTTTGAGGCAAGAGTGTCTGTGAAATCGGGTCCGGCGGCATGCCAACGATGCGATGGGCAGCAATCTCTTTCATCAGCGTGGTCTTGCCAGCCCCGTTGTGGCCTGAAGCAGGTCCGATCTTAGCTTCTGCAAACGAGTGTTAGGGTTTAGGGTTTAGGGTATAGGGTATAGGGTCTAGGGTTTAGGGTTTAGGGTTTAGGGTTTAGGGGATTCATGCGTCACCGCCCTCAGGCCTACGACGCCATATCGACAGTTCTTCTTCATTTCCAGCGTGGTGTCCTGCCCGCCAAGTTTTTGGGCGAGGTCGGCCACTGATGGCATACCCTAAGGCTCTAAGGACTCATATTTGAAGGTATTTATGGTTTAGGGTTAGGCCCAAAGGCCTGATTGTGAAAGGTTTTTGGGCGATTTTGAGCCTAAGGGATACATGATAGGCGGCCCTGGTACCTATATGTTCCGACTGTACATTCATCTGGTGCTTCCCATTTTGAAGGGTGCCCGTACCCAAAAGCCGAAACCCTTCAAAAGGGGTATTTGGGGGTTCCATAGCTATCCCCTTCAATGCCGGGACGTAAGACTTCACTCATGTGGCAGCATCTGCGGTCCAGTCCTTCAGCAACAAGTGGCCCGCGCCATACATCAAGAGCAGGTTCTCTACCCGAAGCCTCGCAGAATGAGATGTTGAGATTTATAGGGTCATGTTGCGGAGTTATGAAACAGGCTACACGAGCTTGGTGCAATGCAGCTTCATGCAGGCGAAGCAGTCATGTTTCTGAAGAGCGTTCATTCTGGGCTGGGCACAGAATTTCGTCGTCATCCGCCCCTCCGTCTGCGTGAGCATCGAACGCATCCTGCTGGCAACGGCTTGGGGGAGTAGTTGCCAGGCAAATTACTAAATTGTTGCTTCGTGCATCTTTGCCACAAGCAAGGTGTGACGCCAACATGCTAATTGCGGCAAGTATTGCTGCCCTTCACAAGAGGAAAGAAGCATGTCCCAACTCCAAAGACTTGAGAACGAGGATGCATACCTTCCTAAGCAAACTTATGTCCTCACAGCTACCTTCGGGCAGCCGAGTACCATGTTTGTGCCTTTCTGTGCTTCCTTGCAACATCTGCGCATGGTTCTCCAACGCCAACTGTTAAGAGGAGGGGCTTTGTACAGGGGATGCGGGTGGAGCTGCTCCAACACAAAGTGTGCACTCCACAAACCACCGGCATGTCCTCCACAACATTCACTTTCTTTTCTTTTCTACCATGGAGGAGGTCATTTGAGGAAGTTTTCGGATTCCAACAACCTACTAATTGCTCAAGAACCCCCCCCCAAAATAAACATATTCTTCCCTATTAAGGGCAATACAGGGATTATTGTAATTTATTCATTTGGGGCTCTTAAGCAAATAGTAGCAGTAGGAATCCCGGAACTTTGGGGAGATGCGGGCGCGCATCAGAGGGTGCATGATCGTGCATGAGTGTGCATGAGTGGGGTTTAAGGAAGGCACGTGCGTGTCACAAGACACAAACATCACTTCAACCACGATCATGATGAACATGCCCAAGCAATGGCCTCCTTTAAGAGTGTAAGAGTAAAATCGTCTAGGAGCAGCCGCATGAAGCTGTAAAGCGAGCTGCCTCACTCTGCCTTGAAACCCCAAACTCTGCACCGCCAAAGCCCTATAAAGCCCAAACCCGAAACCGACATCCCACGTGTCGGGTCCCCCATGGCAGCCCGCACCACTGCTTCGCAGATGCCAGGGACATCCTCCATCTTGGGAGCTTCGCCCACCTCCATTCGGAAGGCCCTTTGTGTGGCGTAGGGTGTAGGGTGTCGGGTGTAGGGTTTAGGGGGCTCTCGATGTCCGCCTGTATAGCCCACAGTACACCCCCAACAGGGGCCCCTTGTTGCCGTAAACCCCAAACCCTAAGGCCCTAAACCCTGAACCCTAAACCCCCTTGTTGGTGAATTTAACACTGGGACTGCTGCCGCAAGGCATCAGAACTTGAAGAAGCACAGCTTCCGCTGCCCCGCTCCCTATTAACCCTGAAGCCTAAAACATGGCTAAAGAGCACTGCAAGCTTTTCGGCGTCAACTTAAGGGCCCTAAACCTTAAACCCTAAACCCTACAACCTAAACCCTACAAGCCCTTGACGTCGACCCTTAATCCTGGTGGCCGAAGCCTTCGGGTAACCTGCAAGACTTTTCAGGGCACGTGCTTGTTATCTTCTTGACGCTCTGCATACCAGTCTATCTCAGGTGCTACATCCTAAATAAAAAATTTGACAACCCAAAGGTTTACTTACTGTTGATTAGTAGGGAATGAGGGAAGGAGGGAATGAGGTACCCTATATGCCCCTATTATATACCCTTTAAGGGATTATATGGGGTACCTCATTCCCTCATTCCCCACTAACCACGAGTCAGTTTAATGATAATGTGAAGCCGGGTCGCGGTGAGTTTAGGCCCCACGGTTTAGGGTTTAGGGTTGAGGGCTGTGCTGCGTAGCAGGTTGCAATGCAGGGTTGTCGTTTTGCCTGCACCCAGTCGTCCAATGATACTTTGCTTGCCGCCGGGCTTGCGCGCACGTCTCTTGCAGAGCTGCGAAGCACCGCGGGATTTGGGTCGACGCATCATACTTCTCCAAACACCCACATTGCACAACGCCGCCACGCTTGCAGAAATGGAGTGTGTGATTTTCCTGCCATCATTGGGCCAGATGCTCTGATTGCGCGACGACATGAACCGGTACTTAAAGACTGAAACATGCCCAAGAATGCCCCTTTTCCGCAACCAAGACGGCACAAGAGAGAAAAAAACCATACGCCAACCGCCCTGACCGCTGAAACTCAAAAACCCTACACCCTGCCCTAAACCCCAAACCCTAAACCCCAAACCCCCAGCGCCTAAACCCCAAACGCCAAAGATGCGCCCACAGTTAGGGTTTAGGGTTTAGGGTTTAGGGTTTAGGGTTTAGGGTTTAGGGTTTAGGGTTTAGGGTTTAGGGTTTAGGGTTTAGGGTTTAGGGTTTAGGGTTTAGGTTTTAGGGTTTAGGCTTTAGGGTATTTAGGGTTTCGGGCTTAGGGCTTCTTGGGAATCAGGAGAGGTATAGGTAGAGAGACAGAGGGAGAAAGCGCCGTGAATGAATGTGAGCTAAAAAACGGTACAGGGTTCAACTGGGGTTTACAGCGTTGACTTGGGGTGTACCAACCCTGAAGTGTAAACCCTACACCCCACTGTAGCTGCAATTGCAGCTGGTATAGTTAAGGCACAGGGGTGGGGAGGGGAATCCCTGCAAGGCTCTATTCCTAAGCACGTGTAGGCGGATTTCTAAACCAACCGCTCCGGGTTTGTAGGGTTTAGGGGTTAGAATTTAGGGTTTAGGATAGGGTTTAGGGTCCGGCCTACAGTATAACCTACTAATTTCGCTGAGCCTTCAAACAATAAAGCTTTCGAACCCAGAAGACGACGTCCTTCTCGAACCCTAGCTATAGACCCGAAATCTTGAACCCCCTAAACCCTAAACCCTAAACCCTAAACCCTAAACCCTAAACCCTAAACCCTAAACCCGAAACCCCATATCCCTAAAACCTGGCCTCTTTGCAGAGTGTCAAGGCCGTGGTCACATCTTCGGCCAGGGTCGCAACTTGTTTCCTCTGGCCGAAAAGGGGTTGAGGGTTCTAGGGTTCTAGGGTTCCAGGGTTCCAGGGTTCCAGGGTTCCAGGGTTCCAGGGTTCTTGGGTTCTTGGGTTCTTGGGTTCTTGGGTTCCAGGGTTCTGGGGTTCTGGCAGTTCTACATTTCTGCGGTTTGGGATTCTAGGGTTCTAGGGTTCCAGGTTTCTAGGGTTCTAGGGCTCAAGGGCTCTAGGGTTCTAGGGCTCTAGGGCTCTAGGGTTTTAGGGTTCGCGGGTTCTAGGGTTTAGGGACTCGAGGTGAGGGGACTTGGGAAGTAGGGTTTCATTGGGTCACAAAGGTTTAGGGTTTAGGGTTTATAGGGTTTAGGGCTTGAAGGTTTAGGGTTTATGGCTTGAGGATTTAGGGGTTTAGGGGGGTGTCTGCGTAAGGGTGTAGGGGCGGCTGCCTGTAACGAGAGGTGAATTCCACAAGGCATCCGTAGTCAGGGTTTAGGGTTTAGGGTTTAGGGTTTAGGGCTTAGGGCTTAGGGCTTAGGGCTTAGGGCTTAGGGTTTAGGGTCAGGGCCTATGTCTCTCCCCCTTAAGAAAAACGGCAAAGGCCATTGGTGTGGGTCAGTTTGGAGGTCTCAGTGTTCCCTGACACCCAAAGACCCTAAACCCTAGAACGCTACAACCCTTCAAAGACCCTAGAACCCCAAAACCCTGGAACCCTAAAACTCAAGGCCCTCAAACCCTAAAGACCCTATAACCCTAAAACCCTAAACCCTAAAACCTGCCTGCCGTTGAAGTGCTTGTTCTTCTGGCCCTCGACCACTATGGACCTGGCAACTGAGACAGCATGGGCCTGCGCTGCTTGGTGTATACTAGTGGGCCGCAGGCCACTGTTAGCATGGTCGATTCCATATGCTTATGTAGATGTAGATATATATATATATATGTATCTCTTTCTATCTCTCTCTCTCTGTCGATTCTTTTAGAAGCAATTCAGGGTGCTGAAATCGGCCCCGTACTGTGAACCGAGAACTGGGTAGGTAGGGATCAACAGCTTGGACGTGATGTATCGTAAGGCTATATACGTTCTAAGTACCAGAAGTTGGGATTGTCTGAATGATCACCTGACTTTGAACCCTAACCCTAAACCCTAAACCCTAAACCCTAAACCCTAAACCCTAAACCCTAAACCCTAAACCCCAAACCCTAAACCCTCAACCCTCAACCCTAAACCCGCTTGCTGAGCTCCCTGAACCTTGACCAGAACTCCCCGAAGCCGCCCTCAGGCATCGCGAACACCAAGCCTGCTAGGATTGCTAAGAAGCATGCACAAAAACAAGGCCTCAGCTATTGGTATATAAGCCTTGGGATGTGCCCTTATGCTAACAGTCCTTATAGGGATTCTAGTACCCGGAATCATCATCCCTACTAAGGACTGTTAGTATAACGGGAAACATCCCAATATAAACCTGTTGTGATAAGGTTTCAGACCTCTAGAAGGAGCCACTACACCCGATGGTGCCCATTTCCCTTCTAATTGTGAGGGTCCTTGTAAGGCACCGCCGTTCTCGAGTCCTTTCATCGGTTGCCATGATCGCAAATGTATCGTCCTAGCCGTCACAAAGATCGTAGTCCGAATGTTCATTAGTAAGAAAAAATAATAGCCATCATGTAAGCACAACGATCATCATAAACATCGATAGCCACAGTCATCAGTGCACAGCTATCACCATCATCATCGCGACAATCATCATAAGGGCCATCACCATCATGCTGAAATAGAAGTCATCGTAAAAGACACGCTGGGCGATAGGACAACAAGAACACAAGCAAAGCAAAAACAAACAACATATAACCGTCATCACCATCATCGTGAAATCCACAACAGAAAGAGTAACCACAAACAAGCGACGCCCTAGTACTGACAGTAATCACACTGAGACGAATAGTCATCATGACAACAATCAGAGAATTATCTCTTAGGGTAGTTACATAATATGGGCCCTTAATTGGGAGGATCCCCTTATGCAAAGGGCCCCAATGAGGTACCTCTACAAGAAATTTCGTAAACTCCCAGGGTTCATGTACTTCCCTAACCCTAGACCCTCAACCATAAACCCTAAACCCTAAACCCCAAACCCCAAACCCTAAACCCAGGAACGCTTCGCGTCCGAGGAGGCTGGGCTTCGCACGCGCCGATGGCACCCAGGTGGTGCCGGACGCAAGGCACGAGCTTGGACAGGTCTTTGTTGCTCGTCATCTCCTCGAGGGTTTAGGGTTTAGGGTTTAGGATTTATGGTTTAGGGTTTAGGGTTTAGGATTTCGGGTTTTAGGGCTTTGGGGTTTATTGGGGTTTCGGGGCTTTGCAGAGCGTGGGGCTTTCTGATCTGTTCGGCGCAGGGTCATAGAGTCAAAGCTGTACCATTCTCATTCTCGCACCTCGGGGTCCTTACGGGAGCGAGATGCATTCTTGTACTATTGCAACAAAAGATTTAGTGTCCAGGGCTTAGGGCTTTTAGGGGGTCTAGGGGGTTTAGGGGGTTTAGGGGGTTTTGGGGGTTTAGGGGGTTTAACTCTTCAGGATTGTTGGTGGTTAGGCACCCTGCCCTTCGTCGTCCCCTCCAGATCCAAGAACCACAAAAATTCAAAACCAAAGAACTGGAGCAGAGGAAGCCACTTTGTTGGGCTTTCTCGAAGGTTTTCTTGGTAACCAGAGCTCACACCCTAAACCCGACACCCTACACCCTACACCTTAAACCCTGAACCCTCAGCCCTAAACCCTAAACCCTAAACCCTAATCCCTAAACCCTAAACCCTAACCGCCACAGTCCAATGGACGCCTCGCGCGCTTTGGCTGCCAGCTGCGAGGCATCAACTCCACCCCGCGACTGGGAGTCCTGTGACCGTCAGCAGAGCTCACAGGGTTTTAAGATTTCAACCCTGGAAACCCTGCAAACCCTGCAAACCCTGTAAAACTATAAGCCCGATAACCCCCCCCCCCCCACACACCCTATAAACCCGATAAAAACACAATATATATATATATATATATACATACATACATATATATATATATATACAAATCATCTAGAATCCCTAAATCATCGAACATTTCCAGCAGGCGAAGTGCTGTTTGGAGCTTTGCAGCGGCTGCTACGACTCGCGTGAACCGACTCTAGAACCCCTCGGTACCAATATCATGGGCAGCTTGCGTAGCAACTACCAGGATGGGCTATGAAGCCTTTAAAAAAATCACCATAACGAACCATATAAAGGGCCTTTTAAGGGATTATAGGGTAGAATACTTTATCCTGTTCCTTCGCCCATGAACATCCCTAAACCCTAGAGAGACTTACTTGGTCCCTGAAGCCCAGGCCTGCGACGAAACCTCGGGTTCGCGACCACTTACAACCAGCGCCGGCAGGCTATCCTCTGGCCTCAGGATGCTTGTGCATCTCACGTGATGACAGTACTGCAACGAAGGTCTGGAAGTACTTAGCAACACTGAAACCCTGAATAACGAGCACGGCATGAGATGCACGTATTCTGTTGACGTCGATACTTACTGCAATTACCAGGATGGGCTATTCTACCCCATAATCCCTTAAAAGGCCCTTGTACTAAGTGGTGAACCTAACAGCTGTACCATCTTGACTTAGAAACCGTACCGTCATGACACAGCATTTAGTACTAACTCTGGGTCTTGTTCGTCAGTCTTGCCCATGAATCCACCCTTGAGACCCTGTTAACGCCTGGTCTGCAAGCTCCTGTCTCACGGTATTAAAGGGGGTTACAAGGGTGAAGAGAGCAATATTAAATTCACTTGTAAACTAGTGCATAGGGTTCATTATGGGGATTTTAAGGCCCATCCTGGTAACTCGGCTTTTGGGCACAGGAGGCTTGCTCCCAGCAATATTGGACCCCACCACACTTCGAGACTCGCGCGCTCGCTCTGCACTTGGCGGGAAGTGGAACTTCGGAGCCTTCAGGCGACCCTAAACCCTAAACCCTAAAGCCTAAACCCAAAAAGCTAAACCCTAACCCTAAACCCTAAAACCCTAAACCCTTAACTGCCCTAAACCCCTAAACCCCTAACTGCCCTAAACCCCTTCGAAACCTGAACTCCAGGCCTCCGGAACCGCTTCTTCAACGGCTTCCAGCTCTCCAGCTTTGGCAAGCTGGTCCAGGATCTGCCATCATGGGCAGGGGGTTTAGGGTTTAGGGTTTAGGGTTTAGGGTTTAGGGTTTAGGGTTTAGGGTTTAGGGTTTAGGGTTTAGGGTTTAGGGTTTAGGGTTTCGGGTTTCGGGTTTCGGGTTTCGGGTTTCGGGTTTAGGGCTTAGGCAGTCTCATGGATCTCATAGCTCGCTGGCTGCCTCTGCCTGCAACTTACACCCCACAGGTACCTCTTGTTCCTTTCGCTGTTGCTGCCAGACTCAAGTTTCGACTCCAGGGCACCACGGGTGCACACAGGGCCCTCTGGCGCGATTCGCGCGCTTCGCCGATCGAGATTTCTATGCAATCTATGGGAAAACTGGTGTACAAGCGGGGTGTGAATTAGGATGCCGGCGTATGCCAGCGTGCAGCCTTGTGCAGCGCCGAGCTTAGGGCATCGCCTGGCCATCGCGTCGGCTCCAGCTAGAGAGCCGCAACGCAGAGCGAGAACGCGCGAAGATGCGCGAAAGATGCAGGAAGACTTAAAATCTGCGCTGAGCGTTACATATTTTTTAGAGATTCAGAGCTCCGCAGGTGGGAGCTCGAACAAAAAATTGCAAGGCTAACGCCCGTACGGGCCCTGTCCGTGAGCCTCAAGCGCCCAGGAGCTTATCTTTCAGAGAAGGAGCGGCAGCCATGGGCGACTTCAGCAGCTTGGACTGCGCCGGGCTCTCACCCAGGAACCTCACCGGGTCACTTCACAAGCCAAGCCACGCGGAGCACCGCGCAGCTTTCTCCCCGCCCCACCCCACTCCCACCATGAACTTTACGCCCATATATTTAGTCCCACGAGCTATCTTCTGTGATCAGTGCATGTTCATCTGTGTGAGTACCAAATATGTGCGCATTGCACATATTATAAGTCTGTCCCGGCTGCTGCACGCGGCCGCTTCCCAGGTCGTAGACGCCACCCTGAATCACCAAGTCGCCGGTCTTCACCTCCCGTGGACCCGAAGACTCAAACACGACAGGGAGACCATGACACGAGTATAGGAACGTGGCGTGAGATGGCTTCACGGCCTTCTGGCGGATGGGCTCGCTGTGCCTCGGGACGGCTGGGCTGTGCTGAGCTGGGCTGAGCTATTCCGGCTGGCAGTCTCGGCTAGTGCGGCTAGTTCGGCTGCGCGCTCATGTTTTCTGTCCGGCCCTCTAGCTGCACAAAGCCACACAATGCTTGCATGCGAATGCCCTGCGTGCGACTGCTGCTCTGAGGCCGAGCTGCTGCAGCATGAAGTTGATGGTGTGGAATACGTTCAGCTTCACGGCATGCCGGGCAATGTCATCTTCGCTGGCCTCAGCCGTACTTATAAGGGCCTCCAGTTGGCTGGAGATTGCAAAGCAAGACTGGCAAGACTTAGTGGCTTGCACCTTCCCTTGCTGCAGCAAAGCCCGCTCCGTGCCCCGCCTTGCGTCCCAGCTCGGCGGCGGCGGTCTCAGCCACGGTGCTGAGGCCCAGGAGCAGCGCATCCAGAGCGTTTCCGCCCTTGCAAACCGCACCAGCGAAAATCAACCAGTCGCCGCTCACAGTGAACTGTCTTACCATGCACCCGATGCCCAACAACAATCCAAAACATCCCTGTAAACGCACCCCTCTTCAAGGCCCTCCAACTTACCCTGCAGGTCCTTCGCCCCACCTTGCTTCTTGGACTGCAGGAACGCGTTGGTGGCACCCTTGATCGCACCGCAGTTCGTGTGCCCTAGCACAAAGATCAGCCGGGTGTTCAGCGCGCCCGTGCAGAACTCCAAGCTGCCGAGCAGGCTGCCCTCTGCATGGGTGCAGGTGTTTCCAGCGTTGCGCAGGACGAAGAGGTCCCCAGGCAGGGCATCGAAGACGGTCTCAAGCGGCACGCGCGAGTCGGCGCAGCCCACCACTGCCGTGTGGGGTGCCTGACCAACAGTGGCCAGGGCCTCGCGCATGCTCTGGTGCACCTTGCCGGCCACGGGGGCGCCCACAGCGAAGCGCTCGTTGCCGTCTCGCAGCATGGCCATGGCATCCGATGGTAGCACTGGGCCACTCTTGGAGGTGCGGACAGCACCGGTGGTGATGGAAGGCGGCACGGAGCGTGTGGAGGAGAGGAGCTCTGCATGCTGAGGCGAACGGCCCAGGAACTCCACCCGGCCCGTCTCGAGGTGGTAGATGCCACCTTGGATGTCCAAGTCTCCTTTGCGCACCAGCTCTCGCAGAGGCTCAGAGAACTTCAGGAGGAAGTTCACGGAGTTGAAGACGTTCACCTTCACGGCGTGGGCCACAACGGCCGCCTCCTCGGCCTTCGGACCCAAGTCCTCGCTGGCCTTCTGCGCGACGCCGGCCAGCCCCTGCAACAGGCCTTCGAGAGCACTGCCTGGTGCTTTGGACGTGGCACCGGACAGGTAGGTTTGTGTCGCTCCAGCCACGGCACCGCACTGTGTGTGCCCAAGCACCAAGACCAGTTGAGTACCCAGTTTGCCAGTACAGAACTCCAGGCTGCCGACGATGCTACCCTCGGCATGTGTGCAGGTGTTGCCAGCATTGCGCAGCACAAAGAGGTCTCCAGGCATCGAATCGAAGACTGTGTCCACGGGGACTCTCGAGTCGGCGCAGCCTACGATCGCGCTGTGGGGGGCCTGGCCGCACTTCACCAAGGCCCGGCGCATGTCCTTGGACGTGGTCGCCGCCGTGGGTGCACCTGCAGCGAAGCGCTGGTTGCCCTCCATGAGCAGCTTCAGCGCTTGCTCGGACTTGACGGCCACGTCGGCACCGGTTCGCACCCCATGCATGCCACGGTCAGCCTCGCCGCTCACCATGGAAGGTGGAATGGGAAGGCTGGACTGGAGCAGCTCTGACTGCTGAGGGCTCTCGCCCAAGAACTCCACACTGCCTGTCTCAAGGTGATAGATGCCACCATGGATCTGGATCTGGCCGCTGCTCACGCCCTCACGAATCGACTCACTGAACTGGAGCAGAAAGTTGATGGTGTGGAACACGTTGACCCTCACGGCATGGGCCGCGATGGCATCCGCGTCAGCATCGGGGCCCATTTCTTGTTGGGCTTGCTGGGCAACCGCTCCAAGGTCCTGCAGAAGCCCCTGGAGCGCGGAGCCAGCTTTCTTGGGAACTCCCTGGGCATCCAGAAAGGTCTTCGTCGCACCATAGACGGCCCCGCACTTTGTGTGGCCAAGGACCAACACCAGTCGGCTTCCCAACTTGCCGGTGCAGAACTCGAGGCTGCCGATCATGCTCCCCTCCGCGTGAGTGCAGGTGTTGCCGGCGTTGCGCAGCACAAAGATGTCACCTACAAGTACAGATGTCAGCTACAAGTACGAGTACGAGTAGCGCTCAAGCCAATCCCGCCCGACGCAAAAGAGACTACAAAGACTCGAGATCTGAACAGGAAGACGTGAGCAACCGTGCCTGGCATCGTGTCAAAGATGGTCTCCAGCGGTGCGCGCGAGTCGGCGCAGCCGATGATGGCCGTGTGGGGAGCCTGGCCAAGCTCCACCAGCTCTTTGCGCACCACGGCGTTTGTGCGGTTGGCCAGCGGTCGCCCGTCCACGAAGCGCCGGTTGCCGTCCTGCGGCTCGCAGGAGGCGCGCTCTTCCCATCATGCACCATAGGCTAGAAGGCTATATAAGCGGCCTACGTAGATTGAAGCTAGAACTATATACTATCAAGCTTAAGATGCTTCCGCAAGAGATGCGCCTTGAGAAGGCCGAGGGCTTCCTTGGGCTCCATCGGTGGGTCTGCCGCCGTGCGGACGGGCCGCACCGGCGGCTGGCTGCAAAGGGTCAGGGCCTCCGTGATCTGCCCAAAGAAAGACATGGCAGGGACCTTGGGGATGACCTTGGCTTTGCAAAGTTGCGGCAACAGAGACGAAAACATAAGAGCGAAGGATGCACAAGCTTGCTGTATGAATGATCATCTGCCTGTGCAGGCAACGGAGACGCTTCTCTCCCTTCCAGAAGAAAACCGTATCGACCCCAATATGTTGATCATTCGAGCAAAGATGAGTAAAGTAGCACGATGTGAACAGACCCCTGACATGGTGAACTAAGGCCAAGCAGAGCTGACTGCAGCTGAGCAACTGGAGAGCTTTGGACTGCGGACAGGAGCGAGGAAGCAAAGGCTCGAGGGTGAGGCGGCGTGCACGCGCCGCTGCATCTACGTCAAGACATCGCCACCAATGCTGGTAGTATAACGGTATAAATGGACTTTGCCAGCAGATCACAAAGCTTCCTTTCACTGTTGCTGCCAGCTGCTGCCAGACTCAAGTTTCGACTCCAGGGCACCACGGGTGCACACAGGGCCCTCTGGCGCGATTCGCGCGCTTCGCCGATCGAGATTTCTATGCAATGCATGGGAAAACTGGTGTACAAGCGGGGTGTGAATTAGGATGCCGGCGTATGCCAGCGTGCAGCCTTGTGCAGCGCCGAGCTTAGGGCATCGCCTGGCCATCGCGTCGGCTCCAGCTAGAGAGCCGCAACGCAGAGCGAGAACGCGCGAAGATGCGCGAAAGATGCAGGAAGACTTAAAATCTGCGCTGAGCGTTACATATTTTTTAGAGATTCAGAGCTCCGCAGGTGGGAGCTCGAACAAAAAATTGCAAGGCTAACGCCCGTACGGGCCCTGTCCGTGAGCCTCAAGCGCCCAGGAGCTTATCTTTCAGAGAAGGAGCGGCAGCCATGGGCGACTTCAGCAGCTTGGACTGCGCCGGGCTCTCACCCAGGAACCTCACCGGGTCACTTCACAAGCCAAGCCACGCGGAGCACCGCGCAGCTTTCTCCCCGCCCCACCCCACTCCCACCATGAACTTTACGCCCATATATTTAGTCCCACGAGCTATCTTCTGTGATCAGTGCATGTTCATCTGTGTGAGTACCAAATATGTGCGCATTGCACATATTATAAGTCTGTCCCGGCTGCTGCACGCGGCCGCTTCCCAGGTCGTAGACGCCACCCTGAATCACCAAGTCGCCGGTCTTCACCTCCCGTGGACCCGA